ATCCTTGGCTCAGGGAAAGAATTACTTAATGAGCAAGTTCTCCTCCCTTAATCAGAAAGTGAAACAAACAAAATCCAATGTCAATATGAGTAACCTTAGAAAGTTGGGGAACTTCACAAAGCCTGAAATGAAAGTCAACTTCTTAAAGCCCAATCTGAAAGTCAATCTTTGGAAATCTGATAGTAGCCTTGAAACCATGGAAAATCCCATGATGGAAACAAAAGTCAATGCGGAATCGGACCTAGAGATTTCTTCAGATAATGACTCATTCCATTCAGATGACTTCCTTACAAATTCTAAATCTGACGATGACCAACAGTTCATGGACTCCTTGGAGAACATTGATTATGTCCTGCCTAGTTGTGGTATCATTGCCTCTGCTCCTCGGCTTGGGAGTCGGTCTCAGTCTGTAAGCAGCACTGACATCAACATTAGCATCCCTGTTCCTTCAGAAATCCATGTTACGCAGTGTGGAGACCAAACAAACAAATCTGAATCTGAGGGCAAAGCACTTCAGGAAACCTCTTCAATTGACAATGCAACTGTGGAGTTCACTAAGCCAGTTGATGCTTATTGCCATAGATTTGTACAAGATGCTCAAATTAAGATGGCCACTGTGTCCGAGATGGAGGTTGGGTCTCAGGAATTCCAGAAAGCAGATTGTGTCAGCAGTGGTTCTTCTAAGAAAACTGAGTCTGGTTTTGGAATAACAAGTGAGACTCCTTCTAGACCATCTAAATTGGATGTAACGTTTTCAGAGACAGAGTCACAGTTCTTAACAGTTGAGCAGATGTCTGCGTCGCATAGCCCAGGCTCCTCTTCCAACGCCCTTGAAGTTGAGCCAGGGTTTCACATGACTCCTTCACCATCAGAGAGCAACGGGAGCAGAGCAGTCTCTCCTTTTGCAAAAATACGCAGTTCCATGGCCCAAATGGCTAACATGACCCAAGCTGGTTTGACCCAAGGAATCAACTTTGCAGTGGCTAAAGTCCAGAAGAGCCCGGCCGAACCAGAATGTATAAATGAAATTCAGCAAAATGAGCTGAGAGAGATGTTTACACAGTGTCAGACACGGATAATTCAGATCTAGAACTCAAACTCTCCAGATCCAGTTGTACATAATGGGGAGAAGGGGCAAACTACCGCCGAATATTGTTATAACACAAATAATTATGTTTACAGAGAGGTGTGGGAGAAATGAAGTGGGTTCTGAACAGGTTTCAGAAGTATTCTCTTGCAGCTGAGTTGGTGAAGGTTAGCCATACTAACAAGGTAGCTCATACGCCGTTGACGTGCATGCTGTTAGTTTGAGTGATCAGTTGCACAATTATCCTTTGAAACTGGGTTTTATAGGTATTCTGATTTATGTAGAATATTTATATTAGGGTCTGGTACTGACACCTCTTACCTTATTAATCTTGCACTGTACCAGTGAACATTTTATTCACAAGATAACATCTTATTTATTTTTCAGGCTAACCTTTTAAATTTAATTTTTTAAACTTGTGTTCATTGATCTAGTTGCACTCCTAGGGAACTGATTTCTGCAGAGAAAGTATTTAAATATATATATATATATACCAAGGGGATTTCTCACCAATTCATTCTTTATCCCTACCTCTACTAACTGGTAGCTATGGTACCTTGGAGCAATCTAACATGGCAATGTATAAGAACTGCTGAGTTTTTTTTTACTAGAAAAAAAAATATTTAAATCCTTTTTGTCTGTCTGGAAGCTATTATATGCCTTTGGGTGATAGAATTGGTTCCTTACTCTTGTGCTACTTTTTTTGGGGGGGAGGAAAAACAATAAAGTATTTAACTACAAAAATAAATGCTGAATATTGGATAATATGTGCTGTAGTGTTCGTATGAAATACTGTAACTTCCTTAAACTCAAGCAGGAAGCACAAAAAATTATAACCTACAACATACTTACCTATAAAGTAATACTGCTGATATTTAAAAACCAGATTAATGCAAAACAGTTAAGATAGTTGTAATTTGTTGAGATCAGTTCTGATTTTGTTACTATATCGCTAGGGGAATGAGATTGTGTTAAAGTGGGGACCAGATCCAAAAAGCCTGAGGTGCACAGGGACAATTCCCATAGATCATGTTATTTCCTATGGCTGATGGTCCATAGCAGAATATAGTTGCAAATACAAGAACGGATACTGTGTCTTGTGGTCTCATAGCCTCAATAATCATTATTCTACAGCCAGGGACTCTATATGTTAGTACCTGTGTACTATAGTTAGGCTGCACGCACTGTTCTAAGCAACTAATATGAGTCATATTAGTAATATGAGTCTACTATAACAGAAGTGATCATAAACTTAACCTGATTTTGTCTTTTTTGTCTGATACTTTTGATACTGTTTCCATTTTTGTTATTTATTTCTTAATACTGTAATGTACGTTCTTTTTTGGTGTGTCTGTATAAATTTTGTGAGTATTTAAAATAAAACTGTGTTGTTTTAATGTGGGATACCTATAACGAGATATATTTTAATAAAAAAAATCAGACCAGATGCATTTTGGTGTGGTGTACATGATTGAAATGCCAGGGGCTTCTTTCCACTTAACAGTTATAGGTACTCACATTTCCATGTTTTCAAACTGCAAGGTTGCCAGAAGCTGGGGCTAATAGAGGGAGCTTACCCTGCTCCCCGGATTCGAATTGCCAACCTTTTGGCCAGCAAGTTCAGCAGCTTAACCCACCGTGCCACCAAGGGCCCCCAGTTATAATTCCTAATGAATGACCTGAAACTCTCCAATATGAGCAATGAGCTCTTCAATGCTCTCGGATGTATTTTCCATAGCTGCATATACTATCCAGCAGTCATGAAAATCTTAAGATGCTATCATCAGTCACTTGGAAGATGGGATCTCATTTTTTCTTAGTTCTGAGAGAAGATGTAATTGCGTATTGGCTCATTGTGCTGATATGTTTGGCTTTCCCAAGAAAACATTCTTGCAGACCATATCACACTACTGATGGCACATTAATGAGGCATCTTACTATGAATAAATGTGGAGACACTATCGAAGGTTTGATGCAGTGTCTGAAAGATAAACAGTGCTTTCGCCTGATTAGATATAATGAAATAGCCATGAAGGAAAACATGTTCTCCTTAAGCAAAACACATGCAGCAGGGTGGATTTTTATTTTGAGAAAAAATGAGTGCCTCCAATAGCATTTGGAACCTTTTTTAAACACTTGAAGCTGAACTTTTAAAAAACCCTTTGAATGAGATGGTGTACTTTCTAGTGGCTAAATTAAGCATTGATTTTGGGTGTAACGTCAAGATTAACAATGTGGGAAAATGCCATATTGTTTTCAAAACCCTTGAAGTTTCCAGCAATTGCACATATGCATGCACCTGTAGTGCTTCAGAATTCTGTGGAATGCCTCTATGGAAGCTAGAGAATAAATTACATATCAACTCATCGCTCCAGTAAGGAGCCCCTGATGGTGCAATGGGTAAACCCTTGTGCCGGCAGGACTGCTGATTGACAGGTTGGCGGCTCGAATCTGGGGAGCGGGGTGAACTTTCGTCTCAGCTCTAGCTTCCCATGCAGGACCTGAGAGAAGCCTCCCACAGGATAGTAAAACAAACATCCCGGTGTCACCTGGGCAACGTCCTTGAAGATAGCCAATTCTCACATCAGAAGCTACTTGCAGTTTCTCAAGTCACTCCTGACACAAAAGAAAATCTCTCCAGTAGTTTATATCTACCTGTATTACCAAAACAATAACAGACTCTGCTACTGAATGATCATGATATTGGTTAACCTTGTTCTGGTAGTTCAAGTGAAAGGTAACTACTACAATGGCTATAAAATGCGTGCTTTCTTGAGAGATTATCACACTACACTTTAAAGCAGGCATGGGCAAACTTCGGCCCTCCAGATGTTTTGTACTTTAACTCCTACAATGATGGAAGTTGAAGTCCAAAACACCCGGAGGGCCGAAGTTTACCCATGCCTGCTTTAAAGAGATGCTATCCCACTTTAAATCCTGTGGTTCCCTTCTGTAAAATTCTGGAGTTAGTAGTAGAGTTGGACACATATCACTGTTAATGAAAATATTTGTAGTTTATGGATGGCCATTTTCGTATAATTTTCAAAAACAGAAAGGAAGACACGAAAAGACCAGTGAAACGAATTCAGAGACGATACTTTTGGAAAGAGTTAAGTCCACAAAATAGGTGAGGCAGGGGGATCTGTGGCATCTTGTTCTCTCCTCGGGAGAAGCCTTCATTTTTTTCTTGGAAAGTTACCTCCTCCAGAGAGGGCCCTTAGAACTCGCTTTCCCAGTGGTACTAGCATAGAGTGGCAATGGAAAGTTCCTCTTGGAGCAGGACGGGAGTTGAAATTTTTCTCTGTGTCTCTCAACCAATAAAAGCCTGGTGGTGTCCATGCTCTGACTGGCTGAGAATGGACACAACCGACTACAATTCCCAGAACCCTCTCTTGAAAATCAGTAGATTGGCGAATTGTTTTGAAACTTGGCAGGCCTGCAGTTGGGAATGGGGTCTACAATTTAGTTAGGTTTCATGCAAATAGTCCTTAAAATGGCTGAGGATTGACCCTTTAAAGTTTCCAATTGTAGCCATTGGGCTGAATCTCTGCCAAATGAAATGGAAAACACCCCCTCCCCTTTTCGAATGAGAGATCAGATGGAAACTGACCCAAAAACTGTGCCTTTTGGCCTGAAAGCACAAGGCTAGTTTGCAGTTTAGGGAGGCCAGGCTCTCTCGGGTTGAGAATTTTAAAAGCCCCTCCTTAAACTGCAAATTCCAGGATTCAAAAGGAGGCAGCCACATGATTTAAAGTGCGATACCAGCTCTTTGTACTATGAAAATCCATAGTACAAAGGAACTGGATAGCTTATTGCTTCTAGGATGTTACTTAGCAGGGGAGGGATTCCCACTCCAATCCAGTGACCTCAGTGCTCCCTATATACATATAGTTTAGCAGAAGTGACAACAGCCTTTTTCAAAATAAATCTTTAATATCAAACAGTTTGTCTGTAGTTGCTAGTTCAGTTACAAAATGAGCTCAAAAAATTAATCAGTATGTTAATCTGCTGAACACCATCAATTGTGTTCAAATTTGAGAAAAGAGCCATTGCTTTCTGGTATAAATTATCTACAAAACCGAATATAAACATAAGCTCTCTTCAGACTAGCTCGACACATTCGGCATACATTGCAGTCACATAAGCAACGCAAAGTGCTGTAACTCTAGAGTTCATTTCCATTGACACATTGCTGCTGCTGCAGCCTGGCTTTGCGCAGGGTTTCCAACTGTTTTGCTCTCAGCCATCTCTCGCGCGAAAGGGTCGTTTGTCCAGCACTTAAGGAAAGGAACCTGCAGGCAATAAGCACAGGTGAGAAAGATTCCTCATGACAGAAGAGGGCTCCACATTTTCTACTTTGTCATTGTAATTATTATCAAAAGCTGTGGTATTGTAATGAAAGTACTAGAACAACAAAAGTACCAATTATAGCCACAGACATGCAAAAATACTATACAGACAGCCCCTGAGTTACAGGTGTAAGAGAACAGGAAGTGAGAGAAATCTACATCTAAGAAGGGAAACTTACTTTCAAAAGAGTTATCACTGGGGAAAGATGTCTCCACTGAAGCTTTATCACTAATCCTTGTTTCCACAACAAGCCAATTTTTTCAAAACCCAATTATAACAGGGACAGAAAGTGAGGTGAAATCTTCTAAACTGGCACAGGCAGCAAAATGCCACAGGGGTGTTAACCCTTCCCTATGGCAGCCAAAGCTAATATATACAGTGTACATATTTCTCTGGAGTTCAACTTAAGAACAAACCTACAGAACCTATCTTGTTCGTAACTTGAGGACTGTCTGTACTACAATATTACAGACTTCTAAACCAGGAGCAACTGTATGCAGGATAGGAAGCAATTTCCCTGACCCAGCAATGACCCTCTTTCACTTAAGTCATCATACTGGATTTCCTTGAGCTGCTATACTACTGAAGATGGGGGAGGAAAAAAACTGGTACATTTGTGCACACTTTTTGTATTTTTGCAGTTTTAAGGCAAAAATCGTAACAAAAATATTTTTACAAATGTTGGAATTGGAAGAGTTACCCATGGTCCACAAAGGACTTGAGAATACAGTGATGAATGTAAGCCTCCACACAAACCTATAACATATTATGCCACTTGGGCATACTGATATTTTAGGTTTATGGATTTCTTCATCCATGATTTGCCCATGGTCACACTAAGAAGCTACAGGTAGAAAAGCGAGACAGAGAAGGGCAATTTCCTAAGGTGTGATGGAACCATATAGGGTTCTTGGAAAGTCAGACTTGGCCATGGTAGTCCACACTCTGGTTACATCCTGAATAGATTACTGCAACATGCTCTACTTGGGGCTACCTTTGAAGACTGCTTGGTAGCTACAACTGGCAGCCAGACTGCTCACCAGAGAGGCGTACAGGGAGCCTACACCCCCCCCCCCCACTGTTACGTCAGCTCCACTGGCTGCCAAACTGCTACCAAGTACAATTCAAAGTGCTGGCTTTAGCCTATAAAGCTCTCAACGGTTTTGGCCTGGCTTATCTTTCTGAACGTATCTCCAGAGTTTAAGATCATCTGCGTGACTGGCAGAGATGAGTAATAGAGCCTTCTCAGTGGTGGCTGCTTGACAGTGGAACTCCCTCCCCAGCGTTGTTAGATCAATGCCCTCCTTTATGACCTTCCGCAAGAGTGAAAACGTGGCTTTGTGGCCAAGCCTTTAAAGAACTTGTGCAATAGATGGACTTGGATTTATGTGACCATTGGAACGGCCTGGATTACACTCATAGATTACGTGTTTAACTCTCAATTTATTGTTTTTAAATGTTATAATTGTTTTAATGTACTTTAAAATTCTATTATAATATTTATTTAAGTGTACATTGTGTTTTAGGGCATCGAATTGTTGCCTGTATGTAAAGCCGCCTTGAGTCCCCTTCGGGGTGAGAAAGGCAGGGCAGAAATGCTGTGAATAAATAAATAAGAAATATAAATCAATTCTCCGTCTTGAATAAGGCATGCACTGCAATGCCTGTTTTATTAAAAAGGAGGACTGCTCTGCTGGAAAAAATCCTTTATGTAACAGCTGGGTGAGCATGGCATCTTCCTATCATTCCTCAAGAACTGGTTCAGCAAAAGTATGTCACTATATGTAAAAATAGAGAGCAGCAATGTGCCCTTCTAGCTACTGGCCCAACTCACATCAGCTTCTGACCCTCACAATAGAAGAGATCAAAAATGACCAATCCTTGCATGATATCTTACCCCAGAAAAGAAGGAAAGAACATGGGAAAGGAACTCTGTTAAATCTGCAACAAACATTTGGGTTCAGGTGTACTGCTATAATCCCTTAGTGAAGTTGACGCTACACACCATAGAATTGTATTAAGCTCAGCCACATAAGAATGAACAACTGAATTAACTCTAAACAAAGTTTGCTTTTATAATAATTTCCATTTAACAGATTCTACAGAAGTGTTTCTGAACTGTATTCTGCAGATGTTCCTTTAATTTAGCTCTGTGTATCTATCATAACCTCACTATCTAGATCACAAAGAGGAAACTCTGATGCTCAGAAGGTGGAAAAGAGGTGAACTACCTAAAAGGGAATAGAGGGAAGTAAATACACCTTATGGGGAAGAGACCCTTAAAAGTCTGACAGGGATACTTGGGTGAGTGATTCTTTTGTCCAGTCTGCTGATTCACATTTGTTCTCCTTACCTTGCTACAAGGAGAGTCCTGTGAAGATCATCAGCAGTGATGCTTTCAGGGTCATTCTTACGCATTTCCACAAAATCATCTTCGACTGCCTGTCAACAGGATTTGCTCCATTAAATGCTACAATCAAGTTAATTACACCATGTAACACAATGTTTGCACCAGTGTTATAAATGTCATTTCCTAATTGGTTCTGTCATAAAAACATGGAAGAGGTTTAGGACATCCTGCCACACATTTTGTTATTTTTTAATGAATATCTCATAGAGTCTCAACCAATGTAACATAGTTTCTGACAGCCACAAAAACGTAGTTTCTGGAGTAGAACAACTACTTTCAAAGTAAGTACCGCACAATTTAAAAGGAAATAACACTTTCAAACCAGGAATAGATTTTTTTCAAATTTTGTTACGTAGTGTTATTTCAATAGCTTCCTAAGATCTACAGAGATACTCGCAGGAACACCTCAGCAAGCAAGAGTCCAATAGTGGCAGGTAAAAACCCAGAACCTAAAGCAGTGGCTGATATCGGATGAGAAACTCCCTCCTAGACACACAGAAAGCTGGGTAACTTGGAAGGCACTGAAGACACTGTGTTCTGGCACCATGAGATGCAGAACTAAACTCAAGAAATTGAGCTACAAAGTGGAGTTCAGGACAAGCGAGTGTGAAGAAGAGCAAACCACAGACCACCTACTACAATGCAACCTGAGCCCTGCTCCATGCACAATGGAGGACCTTCTCGCAGTGACACCAGAGGCACTCCAAGTGAGCTTCTAGTCAAAAGATATTTTGTATAATGCCAAGTTTTAAATTTTGTTTGTGTTTTTAAATATAATATCCTCAATTTGCTTCTGACATGATAAATAAATCTCAACAGAGGCTACAATTGAAGTCATTTCAATGTATTGTTGAAGGCTTTCATGGCCCGAATTACTGGGTTGTTGTAGGTTTTTCGGGCTATATGGCCATGTTCTAGAAGCATTCTCTCCTGACATTTCACCTGCATCTATGGCAGGCATCCTCAGAGGTTGTGAGGATGCCTGCCATAGATGCAGGCAAAACATCAGGAGAGAATGCTTCTAGAGCAAGGCCATATAGCCTGAAAACCCTATAATAACCCAAGTCATTTCAATTGCAATCTCTGGGTGTTTTTTAATTTCCCTGCCACCAGAATTAGACATTCTCCTCCCTCTATAATAACTTTATAGGCCCTTGCCATCAGTAGGAACGTTGTGATTTTTTTAAAGAGCTACTGAAAAAGTATAGGTCCCAGTTCTATACAACAGAAAAAAATGTTTTGCTTTTACATGCAGTCTTTATACCTTGGTCACTTCATCAGATATACTGTAATCAAGCAGTCTCAACAAGCTTAAGTAAATCCTGAACTTGTTAAGGATGGATGGAAGCACCGCTGTGAGAAGACTGTTCATATACTCTTCCATGTTTGGTGGCAAGAGCTGTGGCTGTAGGTGAACTTGACAGTCTGACTGCAGAAAGAAATTACACAACATAATTTATCTTTCCTCTAAACAAGCTCCAAAAGAATGAAAACAGAACACAAAACAGGGTTAAGATTTTTTTAAAAAATCCACTCTCCTCAACAGTGTATTTGCTTCAGGGTTCTGTCTGAAACCACGAGTCCTTAAATGAGGGTTCAAAGGACTCAAATCTAAACTTTGTAGCCCAAATAGTCTCATTTCTAAGTGGAATGACATACATAGCTAAAGGTAAAGGTAAAAGTTTCTCCTTGACATTAAGTCTAGTTGTGTCTGACTCTGGGGGGTGGTGCTCCTCTCCATTTCTAAGCCAAAGAGCCGGTGTTGTCCATAGACACTTCCTAGGTCATGTGGCTGGCATGACTGCATGGCACGTAGTTACCTTCCTGCTGGAGTAGTACCTATATACCTAATCACATTTGCATGTTTTCGAACTGCTAGGTTGGCAGAAGCTGGAGCTCACCCTGCTCTCCAGATTCAAACTGCCAACCTTTTGGTCAACAAGTTCAGCAGCTCAGCAGTTTAACCCGCTGCGCTTCCAGGGGTTCCATCCTGCATACATACATTGCTTCTGTGCATAAAAACACAAAAGACAAGATTTAAAATTGTATATTTCCCAATTTCTTATGCTACTCCAACCTTTCCCTTTCAGTTCAGCAGCTCAGCAGTATAACCCGCTGCGCTACCAGGGGTTCCATCAACAAGTTCAGCAGCTCAGCAGTTTACCAGGGGTTCCATCCTACATACATACATAGTTACTGTGCATAAAAACACAAAAGACAACACTTAAAATTGTATATACCCCCATTTCTTTTGCTACTCCAGCCTTTCCCTTTCAGTTTAAATGTACAATGTCAAGTCTGATGTATAAAATTCTCAAAGCCGTAACTGAACTTAACATGCAACACACAACTAGCTGGCCTTGGGGATTGTGCTCTGTTTTAATTACGAATTTCAGCATTGCCATACCGGTAGGAGTGATCTGCCTTCAGATGTGATAAGTACATTAATGTTGCATGGGAATTCCATCTGGTGGTAACTGAAGTCATAATCCACCTTCTGCCAAGTTATCAGGTGACCCAGTGCTGTCACATTGTGCACACCTAGGCAGGCAAGGGGAGAAATCCTTTAATATCAGTGCAATATCTTCAAACTTCATATGAATAAAATGGGAGATTCTCAGCAACAAAAATAACTGCATTTCATACATTGCATTAGTATCTGTGCAGAAACTTTGGGTTTAGAATCATATGGAAAACACGGAAAATATTTTTCAGGACATTGAACCCAATTGTCCTAATATCACTGGAAACTTGAAAGGGGCACTATATATTAATATCGATATTTTAAAAGAGAAATCGAGTATGAATATTTATAATCTATACCAGTAAATAAGCAATGTGGCATGCCTCAAATGTTAGCTTTGTTTCAGAGTATATTGGGCCCGCTGATTCCAAAAATGGCACCCATTTTCCCCATCAGCTCTAGTTTTTGAGATACAGAATATGACACCATATGCCAGTCCTTACTCTGCTTGCCAATTAAAAAAGTATATTTTAATATGTTTTAATTCCTGTATTTTAAGCATGAAGGAAACATATTAAACATCGAAAGAAAAGTGTACTACAGGAAAATCTACCAGTGTAAGTGGAGTTTTTCAGCACTTTTTCAGCCTGAAAAGTTAAGATGCCTCGGCTTATATTCAGGTCTGTTTATACTTGAGTATAAACACGGTACATTAACGCCCCAGCTCCATTACCTTGTTCATGCCTAGCATTATTTTTTAAACTTTAATTACATTTCGCCCAGCCATAGATTTTAAATGTGCACTGTACTTTGTTTAATGTGTATGCTATTTGTGTATGAGATTTATTTTAATTGCCTTGTATTGTGTCTGTTATTGCTTGTATTGATGTATTGCGGGCTCGGCCTCATGTAAGCTGCACCGAGTCCCATGGGGAGATAGTAGCGGGGTATAACTAAAGTATTATTATTATTATTACATTTATTATTTTACTCTATTATTATTGGAAGGATACGTAAGCAAATTTACATTGAAGAATATTAGAATAATGATTTAATCATTAAATTACAGTTTTATGTAAATATTCAAAAACATTTAACGTACTGATAACTCAATTCATGTAATTTTATTGGTATGTATTTTTATTTTTGAAATTGCTGCATTTCCCACCCTCAGCTTATACTCAAGTCAGTAAGTTTTCCCAGTTTGACATCAGATCGGCCCCCTCCCTCCTGACCTTTCTTAGGAAACTTAAAACTTGGCTCTGGGATCAAGCGTTTGGACAATAATAATAATAATAATAATAATAATAATAATAATAATAACAACAACTTATTTGTATTCTGCCCTATGTGAAAGTAATGCAAATGAAAAACTTGTGGGTATGGCAATGAAGCTTTTTTTCCAATCTCATAAGTGCTACAATATTTCTTTGCACACTAATAGTAACAACAAATAATTCAACAGTACAATGTGCACAATCATATTTTTTCTAAATGCATTGGTCTGGCTTCTTTCTAACATTTTATAACAGAACAGTAGTACACGGGGTTAATACATAAATACCAACCTCTTGTGTCAAGCTGCCCTTGTTCAAGCAAAGTCTCATCTATGACTAGGGAGGTCTTGCTTGCCAGCTGTAATACTCCACTAACCAAGCGATTAGCTGTGTAGTCTTTGTGTGGGTTAAACTGCAAGCGGTTCATGTTCTCTATGGTCATTTGCAGGCGGTAGGACTGCCAAGAAAAATGCATGCTCTGAGTTGTCAGCTAGAAAGTGCCCCTAATAAACAATAAGGCTACTGTCTAAACAGCAGAGATCTCTTATGTGCAAAAAAAGCTATGATGAAAGAGAGGCCCAAATAGCTAAAAACAGCCACTGGAAGACAACCCAATTATTTTGGAGAAACAAATCTTTACTCTAAAACAGTGTTTCTCAACCTTCCTAATGACACGACCCCTTAATACAGGTCCTCATGTTGTGGTGATCCCCAACCATAATATTACTTTTGTTGCTACTTCATAACTGTCATTTTGCTACTGTTATGAATCATAATGTAAATCTCTGATATGCAGGATGTATTTTCATTCACTGGACCAAATTTGGTACAAATACCCGATACGCCCAAATTTGAATACTGGTGGGGTTTGGGGGGTTGATTTTGTCATTTGGGAGTTGTAGTTGCTGGGATTTATAGTTAACCTACAATCAAAGAGCATTCTGAACTCTACCAATGATGGTATTGAACTGAACTTAGCACACAGAACTCCCATGACTAACAAAAAAGACTGGAAGGGTTTGGTGGGCATTGACCTTGAGTTTTGGAGTTGTAGTTCCCCAACAGAGAGCACTGTGGACTCAATCAATGAGAGATCTGGACCAAACTTGGCACAAATACTCAATATGCCCAAATATGAACACTGTGGAGTTTGGGGAAAATAGACTTTACATTTGGGAGTTGTAGTTGCTGGGATTTATAGTTCACTTACAATAAAAGAGCCAAACTTCCCACACAGAACCAACAGAAAATATTATGTTTTCTGATGGTCTTTGGCGACCCCTCTGACAGCCCCATGTGACCCCCCACCAGGGGTCCTGACCCCCAGGTTGAGAAGCATTGCTCTAAAATGTATATTACTAGTAAAGAGAAGATTAATATGAATGTATTAAAGTTTTGTGTCAGCATGGTGTAATGATTTTAGTGTTGGAGTAGCACTCCGGGAAAGAAGGGATGAATTCCCCCTCCCCTGCGCAGTGTGAGTTGGAAGGTGTGATTACGTGGGAGTTTGTAGGAAATATAAGAAGAGAAAAAATGAAGGTGGGCAGCTTTGTTTGCTGTTTTTATTTTCCATCAGTGGTGAGCAAGTTCTCTCCTTGTGTCTAGAAAATCAAATATATGGAGAGCTCACCACTGATCTCTGCCAGGACAGAGATATGGGCTTCAACTCCCAGAAACCTCCTTATTATCCAACATTTTCATATCTGAAGTCCTGCTGGCTCGTTTATATCAGATAAGCGAGACTCTACTGATAATACAGGAAATTTATATTTATTTATTTACCTTACTTATATACCGCTGTTCTCAGCCCGAAGGCGACTCACAGCGGTTGACAACAAATACGAACAGCAAAAATTCAGTGCTACAGTATCTTATATCTTGCCTTTCTTCTGAAATGTGACTGAGCTAACTTTCAAGCACTAGAACATAAACATAAACGCTATAGGGAAGCTGATTATCTGTCCTTTACAGGTTTGCTTCCAGCATATTCAGTAAAATATCCAGTACAGTATAGGTACTGGATATAGCAATACTCATACAATTAACTAGTGTACTATAATTAAAGTCAAAAACCATATAAATGCAATTCTTACTGCAGGTACAAGCTGTTGAATAATACGGTATATATGCTCTGTGAAGACACTGTTTCTTGGACAGCCACTAAGGTTGACTGTGAATTTTCCCAGAGGAAGGACATCTCTTCTTGCATAGCTAGATAAGAAAAAAATCAGCACCCAGAGACTGTTGAGAGCCATCATTAAAAGTTACTCGCAAGTTAATGATTTTGTGTATTTGTGTCTGTTATCCTCTCAAAGTCACAAGTTATCTAAAAATTAGGTAAGTTCTGAAAACTTAACTGGTCTTACTTTTTGTACATTAGCAGTGGTTTCAGCTTGATGTAAAGATGGGTTAAGCATTTGTCTTGTGCGTTTGTACAGGATCCCTATCTGTTTCTGTTTAATTCGTATGGCCCTGTTTTCGTTTTTGAGTGCCAATTCCGAAAAAGGCGCCTTCCTGAATGAGCTTTCTTGTCCCACATCCGAACAAAATGAATAGCTTTAGGGCTGCTACTGTTACCTTACGCCACTGCAGCTGAGGTCTCTTCATCAGAGATCCTTGGTGCGGGGCTGGCAGCTTGCAGAGACTTGCCCTCTTTGGGCCTATGTGCGTAGGCGTGCCAGGACCTTTCTGGGCCTGCAAGGTTGCCAAGCAGTGGAGGGCAAGCCCCACTAGCTGGTGAGGAGCGCTCCTAACTTGGCGCTTGGCTGTATGCCCTGACAGGTCTGCACACCCAGGCCCAAAGCAAGCAGGCCTGCTAGGGCCTTTCTGGGACTGCACGGTTGCCGAGCGATGGAGAGCAAGCACTCTGATGAAGTGATCTTAGTGCAATCTCTCTTCTCTCTATAACTATGGTGCCGAAAAGCAGACTTGGAGCTGGCACCCGCTCCTGTCTGCCTTTCGTATCTAGTTTATTTTAGTTTTGGGAGGGGTCCTTTCATATCGTGCCATCTGAATGGACGGAATGAAATGGAAACACGAATTAAACGGATGATACTGGGCCCATGACTATAAAGCATTATTTGAATCAGTTATTTCTATTCAAGTAAAAGACCTTGTGTACAATATTCTTATTAAAAGAGCCCACTGTCTTAGTGTACAGAAAGGAAAACTTCCCCTCTCCCATTCCTACGTTTTTATGCTGGCTGTAGAAAATTCAGATTTACATGTTACAAAAAGCCCTAGATGTTCCAGTTATAGTCAACAGTTCAACACATAGCTAAGTTACTTTGAAACCAAAAGCATTTGGGTATAAAGTACACAATGTTACTGATGTTACAACATTACTTGATCTACTGTATTTCTTTGTACCCAAAGAGAATTTCATCTCTGTGAGTAGTAAAACTAAAACAAATGAGAACACAAGAACCTGCAACACTTTTGATCGATACAAGTTTTTATGGCATAAACTTTTGTAGATTCAGTCATCGGTGTACTGCATTGGATTAAGTAGACTGAGTCTATGAAAGCTTATGGTACAAACTTTTCTTCAGTTACTTTCAATGGTACAACAGGATCCCTTTGTTTTATCCGTGTACTAACATATATGACATACAGATCTGGAAATATTGTCTTCCTTCCTTACACTGTGGAGATGAGATGCAATATAAGGTATTCCGCAGCAAGGCTATCTCCTAAGAAGGCATGAGTGAGGAATCCAAGGAGCTCTGCTCTGATTGGTGACAGTTCAGACATAAAACTAGAAACAACTAACAAAGAAGAGAATAGGCAGGAGTCAAGACCGTTATAGCATTTGTAACAAATAGCAGTCTTTCTAATACATATAAATGTGACTTGACAAAAGGAGTCAGTACAACTCATGCAACTGCAAACCCAGAACAAAAGCAGTCTTACTCCAAATTTGCTTATTTGAAATTGGAAACAAATTATTTGCTTGGAACACATTTTCTCAGCAAAGAGCACTACTATTCCTACCATAGCTACAACATAACCCGTTGTTATATATTTTGTATGACATAAACCAGAAACTGTGCAAAGAAGCCACAAACACAACGTCTAGTAAGTGGTTCTCAACCTGTGGGTCCCCAGTTGTTTTGGCCTTCAGAAATCCTATCAGTTGGTAAACTGGCTGGGATTTCTGGGAGTTGTAGGCCAAAACCCCTGGGGACCCACAGGTTGAGAACCACTGGTCTACTTAGTCATATAGCTATATATACATGGGCATATGAACAACTGAAAATCACTGCTGTTGTCAAAAGCAAAATGCTATTTGTTTAGTATCAGTTGTAAATCACCATCCAAACTATGTTTATAATTAGCTGTGAAACAATTCACATATTGAAGATATTCTAGATGTCTCAAAATACATCTAATTTCTTTGCACATAGCATTGACAAAGGCAAACAGCTGTGTGATGTCTGAAAGTGTAGCTCCCAACTTTCTCTGTTCTAAATTTCAAAAACAATTCACTATCAATTGTTTTTAATGCTGAAATATGGAAATAAGCAGGACATGTCTGAAGGAGGTTGGCTTAAGATGTGAAAGGGCCTGTAGGGCATGTTTTGCCTGAAAACTGAGATATATGATAAGCTATTTGTAGAAGATGGAGTATGTGTGTGTGTACACATATATATTCTATATACATTTTTAAAAATAAACACTAGGAAGAAGTATATAAAAATAAACCAATTGCTGTAAAGATTTTAGGGACACCACTCAATGATGCAGGAAGTTCCTTATGGATTTTATGTTGTTTGTAAAATCTTAATTTGCAAGCTGCTTTGATATCAAACTGTAATCAGTACATATTTTCTAAGTAAATAAAGGATTATTACTATGATAAATCTTTATTCATTACTATCTGCTTCTAGAAACTAGAAGGAACGCTATATTTTGTGAAAGTAAAACGCATCTGACAAAATTTGATGCCCAAATTACTGTTGTTGTTACCCCTATTTCTAATCTCAACAGTTTCCAACAGAGACCTTCACCTCTGAGGATGCCTGCCATAGATGCGGGCGAAACATCAGGAGAAAATGCTTCTGGAACATGGCCATACAGCCCGGAAAACTCACAGCAACCCAAGGATTCTGGCCATGAAAGCCTTCGACAACACATAATGGAGACATATTCAATAATTAAAATTACACTTGATGTTTAAGAAGCCAACTTCTGTCCCGGGAGCAGCATCAAGAAGAATGCACAATACTCTTGTTTAAATTAAATAATAATCGTAATACTGTAAAATTAATGAAAACATTATTTTAATTCATTACAATTACTCCTTTTAATTCTTTGCTAAGAAGGGAGTAATTTAGGATTCTAAATCTTGTTCCCTAATGAATTTTTGTTACAGGGAACTGGATTTTTTAAAACTGAAAGATACAATCAACTCTGAATGCTTCCCTTTGATTCCTGAGATTATCTAGTTTCTTCTAATGTGCCATAGCTATATCTACAAAGGATCTGATAAGCTCTGCTAAGGATTTCATAGTTAAACCTCAGTGGGGGAAAACTTACATAACAAGGAAGTACAGAAAAACATGCCCAACAAGATCAAACACAGTTTAAAATCAAAGAGATCCATTTTTATCTACCCTTTTAGTTCTTTGCTCCATGATGTAAGTACGCACAAATACACTTCTGTGTTTGCACATCTTTATCCACATTTTCATTAGAAAAAAAGAGTTAGTGATCAGAATCTGAGTTGCTACATGGGATAAGCAATGACTCTTGTGCTTCTGGAGAGAAAGGGGCTTTTTAGGAGAAAAGACTTAAGTAACATTTCTCAAATAAGCAAGCAATCATAACACAATCAATGGAAATAACTGAATGTAAAAAACAAAGATGTTTAAAGATGCATCTTTGTGCTTTAAATATGTGGAAGTTCTCTAGGAATTGGCCACAAATAAACTCAAGTGCAAACATTAAATTGTAACAAGCTAATCTTCCTCGAGGAGCCCCTGGTGGTGACCGAAAGGCCAGAGGTTCTAATCCGGGGAGAGTGTAGAAGGGTCCTACGTTGTAGTTATGTTTTACTAGGATAACTAGGAGCCCCTGATGGCGCACTGGGTTAAACCCTTGTGCCGGCAGGACTGAAGACCAACAGGTCAGAGGTTCGAATCTGGGGAGAGTGTGGATGAGCTCCCTCTATCAGCTCCAGCTCCCCAAGTGGGAACATGAGAGAAGCCTCCCACAAGGATAGTAACACATCAAAACATCTGGGCATCCCCTGAGTAACGTCCTTGCAGACGGCCAATTCTCTCACACTAGAAGCAACTTGCAGTTTCACTCCTGACATAAAAAAAATCTTCCTCTGAATATCTTAAATACTTACAGCTCTTGCTTTCCTCTTCATTAAGGCAGGCAGGCAGCAGTGGATTTATGTGCTGAAGTTTCTGGGCTAAAATCACATGGATCCTGGGAACTAGTGAAGATGGGGGGCTATGAACTCTCTGCTCTTCCAATGTGTCCATACAATCCATAGACTCCACGGGAGATGCTGAATTATCTCTAGAAAATAAAAAGGTCAGTTTAGTACATGTCCAATTTTTACAGTCATCAGTGACTGCGTATTGAGTCCAAGAGGAAGATTGAATTAAAATGTTTAAATAAATAAATAATGAAATTCAAAAGGGAGAAATCCAGTAGGTTTAAATCATGCAATGGCAAGTTATGTTTCTTAGAAGAATGTCCTGTAATTCCTAAAATCACTTTATGTGGGAGAAAACCACATGGACTATAGGAGAACATATTGTTCCCTGAATATCAGGTTACAATACTTGTAGCCAGGGTGGAACACAGTGTGCCTGAAAGGAAGGAAAACAGGCATCACGACTAGAAATTTTTCCCCAAATTATTGAGGAATAACACAGCTAGGAGTCTAAGATAGCGAAGGCACAATTATGCTGCCAAAGCAGTGGTTTCCAGCCTGTGGTCATGGACCACCAGTGATCCCCAAGAACTAAAATATGGTCTGTGGCCTCACCGTTACTACACCGTTGCAACAGGAACGACTGGTCTCATGAAACCCTCTTATAGTGCTAAGACAATGGGGTTGGCGGGAGGAGAGAGGCTGACTACCCACGAAAGGCATGACAACAAGCCTCCTGACTACTACCTCTCCTCCTTCTCCCCCCTCCCCAAGCAGAGCCATTCTATGTGGCGCATGGAAGCAGGGGCATTTTGGTGTCTTCATTTTTAGGCCTGTTTCTGGGATTATTTGGAGTTCTGATTCGGAAAATTGCATTGGATAGCCCACATCAGCTCTAGATTATTTAATATGGTTTTATGTTGGCGAGTAGATTGCAACTACTGGATGGCATATATTCTGTATCAGAAACTAGAGCTGATGTGGTCTACCCAATGCAGTTTTCTGAATCAGCATTCCAAATCACCAAACTGAATCTAAAGTTGACCAAAAACTGATTCATAATCCTTTTGGCTTGCAGAGTGGCCGCTGGTCATAAAAAGGTTGGGAACCACTGTGCTAAAGGAACACTATCTTATTGGGAAACATTTGGCATTTCCAGTAATAGGGCTCACAATTAGAACAGAATAGAAAGGAAGCTGGCTCATTTTCTTGATGATCTCTTACTGAAATGAAAGACTCCCGAGTTGAAATTTTAAAACATTTTATATATTTTTAAAGTATTTGTTTTTAATTCATAATAGAACACATGAATATGAGAGGGCCAGACTTCTAATTCAGTGTTTCACAAATCACTTCACAGAACACATTCCTTTTTCTGAAGTCTATTCAACACCTTAAAATGTCACAAACAAAAAACGAATGTGTTTCACTTAAGGATTAGATATATATACAAGAATCAAACTAGATATAGCAGATTCTAATTTTAATGTGGTTCACAATTGTGCAATGTCAGAATAACATCATCAGCACTTACAAAATGCTCTTGAACTTACAGAACTTGCACTTTCCCTCTGAAAATAACTTTGTTCGTGATATCATAATACATTTTATTTGCTTGATTATACAACTATCAAAACTAAATCCTACAGGGCTTTCCCCTCTGTGTTACCGTCATAGTAACAACAGCAAGCACACAGCAATATGCAAAAGTAAAACTGATCTCACCCAATGGAGAGATGCCAAATCTGCTTGAGGAACAAGGAAGTCTTTGTTTTTAGCAATTAGAACTTGCTAACTAACATCTTTGTGTTATGTTTGTAGAAAGGGAATGTGCAATTGCTCCAAATGCCCACATATCTAGTGAGCAAAAGCAGAACTCAGTTTTCTACTAATCTTTCCAGTATTGACCTTTGTCATCATGTTATTAAATAGTGCACAACAGTTTCAGAAATTAAAATAAAAGGTGAAAGACATTCTTATACAAGTCTGAGGGTGTGAAAACGTTGTTTCCAAGCAATTAAAAAAAAGCAAAAAATCCCTTTTCTCCAATAAAATGCTCCAAATTATCCATTGAGTCCCCAATCCTCATTCAGTCATTTAATTTGTATCCTGCCTTTCTCTCAAAGAATCCAAGGTATTTTACAATAAGTTAAAGTTGAAGTTATAATGCCAAAAACTTACCCCAAAGTATCTAAAACATATAGCAATACACTATTTGGGTTGGATTTTGTGTTAATTTAGGGGGGAAATCCTCTGCTGTAAGGGTTGCAGGTAAGTGAGACTGTCAAACAATGACACAGGACCTGCTGGAATGTTTGACAAACTGAAGTGCTGTTATTTCAATTAATTGTGTTAATTCAATTAATTGAATTCTGAATTTGTACTGTATAACAAATGATTGTAAATGTAAATGTTACCTTTCCTCATTGTTCACTGTGTTCATAACAGGATCAACAGACAAAATCCCATACACTTCAAGAATGTCATTCAACTTGAAACTATCCCCGTTTTCATATATCTACCAAAAAGAGAAGAATATAATTTAAGATAAAAGGTATATTATTGTAACACCATGCTTTTTTTTTTTTTGCTTTTTGCAATGAAGCATCATGAACCTTTTAGATGTGTACAGCAGTAATGATCAGGCACACTAGAAAAAAAAACACTTCCTTATTATTCTCTCCACTAAAACACACACAGACTGTAGTCCTTTATAATCCCCACAGTAGAGCATGACAGGTGGAAGAGCACACGGTTAAGAGAGACAGTGGCAAAGATAAAACGTCTTGGCATTACTATGACTTCATGAGCATGAATGCTTGGCTGGGACTTTCAATTTTCTCTTCCCCTTGAGCTATTCAGATGTTACATGTGCATCATGAAGATACTTTGTCAAGCCTGAAAACAGTCCCAGAACCCACTGAGGGCTCGGAGTGACAGCCAAGAATCCAAGAACTTCCACCCCCAGATTGTGGAAGCCATTACTGGCTTTGAAAAAAAGAGGCATTTTCTGATGTTAAGAAATTCAAGAATAGTGCTATGACATATTCAAAAAGTATATCTCCATTCAGAGGAAACAAATCAGCCTTTGCTCTTTGCCTTTCCTTGCACCTTAGAATGGCCATGCGCTACTATGCTAACATAAAGTAAGAATTGCATATATAAACTCATACGATCACAGAGAAAAATGATTGAATCAGGAGTGAAGAGTAGGTGCCTATTTTGTGGCCCTTCCCTAATGCAGTGTTGTGGTAGCAGCACGTTCTTAAAAACACAAGTCAGTGGGAAAAAATGACTTTATTTCTAAAACAAAACAAAATGTTCCAATTTTAAATGAAGTACTTTCAGGAATATGGTACAAGCCCCACTATATGCAAATTTTTAAAGCAGAAGCCTTGTTTAAAAGTGTTTTTCCACACCACCACTGTAGTCCAGCAACACAGAATTAGACAGTGCGGCCCCTAGTGGACACTGCGGGTGATAATGTGGTGGCCTGATTCCAGAAAGTTGATTACACGTGGATTAAGCAAACATGATATGTAAACACAACTACAGTTCAACATAATAATTATTTATCAGCATTTTGGCTTATAATGATATAAACATATAATGATATGCACTATGTTTTGTAAATTGCACTTGTTTTTTCATGTTGTACACCGCAATGAGTCGCCCTAGGGCTGAGAATTGCGGTATATAAGCGCAGTAAATAAATAAATAAATAAATAAACTGGCTCAAAACTGACTTAAGTGACAGGATATAAGGCTCAGATAAAGCATTTCTATTAGATTAGTGTACCATATATACTCGAGTATAAGCCGACCCGAATATAAGCCAAAGCACCTAATTTTACCATGAAATACTGGGAAAGTGTATTGACTCAAGTATAAACCGATATACTGGTAAATTTCAAAATAAAAATAGATATCAATAAAATTACATGAATTGAGGCATCAGTAGGTTAAATGTTTTTGAATATTTACACAAAACTGTAATTTATGATAAGACTGTCCAACTCTGATTAAACCATTATTCTAACCTTTTTCAATGTAAATGTGCTTAAGAATCCTTCCAATAATAATAGAGTAAAATAATAAATGTAATACAATAATTATAGTGTAAAATAATGTAAATGTAATAATAATAACAACAATAAATAGAGTAAAATAATATATGTAAAAAAATAATAATACCAGAGTAAAATAATAAATAACTTTGACTCGAGTATAAGCCAAGGGGGAGGGAGGGCTCATCCTTAAAAAAGAGTTGAAATCTTGGCTTATACTTGAGTATATACAGTAGTTGCCCCAATTGCAGGTTTCAATCTTCTAATAATTTATTTGCAATACCTTTGATAATAATAGTCATGTATATTACCTTCACAAGGCATGCAGGGCCTTTCTCTCCTGGTAGTGGAAAATTTAAGTCTAGTGGAGGTGAGCAGTTTAAGGAGATCATCTGATTTCTCGATGAAGCTTCTGTTTCTAAACGCTTTGAATCTCCACTACCATGGATATCAGTGACACTTCCTGCAAGATGAGAATGAACAAGTTTCTAACATCTCCAAGATGTTGCAATGATTTTGAAATAAGTTTTAGCAATACACATAACGAGCAAGAACAGCCTTAGTATTGCAATGCAATAATCATGCAATTAACACAAAATACCTATCACATATATCCAACTATATGCTGACCCTATGGATAAGCCAAGGGCAGGTTCAGGACTTGAAATTATGGAATTTGGAATGACATGTGGATAACTTGAGAGCAAAACATAGGGTCATGTAACAAAGGATGTAAGGAATGAAGCAAAGGAAAAGGATGCAAAAAAATAAAATAAAAATCTGGCAGGTGTGTACACTCTAAAGCAGGGGTCCTCAAACTAAACCCCGGGGACCAGATACGGTCCTCCAAGGTCATTTACCCGGCCCTCACTCAGGGTCAACCTAAGTCTGAAATGACTTGAAAGCACACACCAACAACAACAATCCTATCTCATCAGCCAAAAGCAAGCCCACACTTCCCATTGAAATCCTAATAAGTTTATATTTGTTAAAATGATTTATTTTAATTATTGTATTGTTTTAAAGTGTTTTTTGCACTACAAATAAGATATGCGCAGTGTGCATAGGAATTCATTCATGTTTTTTTTTTTCAAATTATAATCCGGCCCTCCAACAGTTTGAGGGACTGTGACCTGGCCCTCTGTTTAAAAAGTTTGAGGACCCCTGCTCTAAAGTTTAGGTGGATGAGGAGGGAACTAAATCACAGCTGTGTGATGTCAGGAAGGCTTGCTTTGGACTGCTTGCAAACACGTGTTTTTGCAAAACAAACTTGGAGGTAGGGAACACATTAAGACCAGCTCAGGGGAAAAGGAAGGAGAAAGTCATGGCTGACAAAAGGACCTGGAAAAGTGGGGCACTATGTGCACATGGAAGGCAATAATTCTGCTTCCCTGAAGCAAGGGGATCAAAAGGGACTGTCTAAAAAGACTAGAGGTGAGCTCTAGGGAATTTTTGGAAGTGTTGGCTTTCTCCATACTGGGTGGAGGAAGCCGACAATCCAAACCTATGAAAAAAGCACTAATATTCAAGGTTAGTTTCTTTTCTTAAAATCTCTCAAATTATAGTTAAATCCATATGATACTTAAGAAAAATCATTCCCAATAAGTATTCCAATTTCGTTCAATGGCTTGGATATAAGGATGCATTTGCAGTAGGTAAATTTCCAGCTCTTCCTCCATTCCTCACTCCCCAAGTCTCTCTTGAGTATTAGGGAATTCCATTAAGGGAATAGTCTGGAGCACACGAATTATGTGATTCTTCCATCACTTCCTGCATTGCAGGCTAACCCACTGGAGGGTCCCCACAAGAGAGGATTTTGAAAGTCTGCTTGCAGAGAATACATAATGTGAATGCTGACTGTGTTGTCGAATGCTGACTCTTTCTGCTCTGTTTTTCTGGATCCAAGTCTAACAGTACAATCAGAACTAAATACACCATATTTCTTCAATTTTAAGACACACTTTCCCCCTCATATCTAAAAATGGTATGCATTTTAGATTCTGAATGCTTTTCTAATATAAAGTTTTTTTTCTGTTGGTGGACCTAAAATTAGTGTGTCTTACAACCAATCTGAAAATCGAAAAAATATTTGCAAACCGATTCTTTATCTAGTGAATAAAACATCAGATAAGGAATTTTCACTTCACAGTTCACAACAGATTAGACATTGCACATGTATAACATGGCTGGGACCCATCTAATTCAGTATTTCCTTTTCAACAATGTCTGGTCAAATGCCTACAAGAAAACCATGAGCATATTCTAAGCATGATAGCCATACTTCATTATATGTCTGCAATACCCAGTGCCTAGCGATATCCTCCCTGCATTTAACTTTAATGGTTAATTAAAAAATCCATCTCCCATGGATGTGTGTAATTTAATTTAATCTCCTTCTAACATTCAGAACCTTTCTGCTTTGGCACAGAATCTGATGATACTTTACCAAAAACCAGAAAAATGGTGCTTGAGAATAATATCATTGCCCACTTATAAATGCAACCTGGCAGATGCTACCAAATACTGATGGACGAATGTGGTCACTGCTGCTATAGTACAAGACCTTCAGACTAATAACATACTCAAACAACGGAGGCCACAGTCCTTATGTGGCACAGAATCTTTGTACTGATTCCACTGTAGTAATTGCAAAAATCAAGGCAGGGGAGATTACACAGAGATAATCGTTCTAAAAATAGAAGCTACTCTTTCCTATCAGCTACTTTGTTAAATATACTAAAACGACGTAACTCCTCATGGCCAAGCCACCCCCAACCTGATGGAACCATAATTCACCATAAAGCTGATGCCTGGTAAGGTAGGTAGGTTGGATGTTTGTAGGAGGTTCAACTGTGGCAATAGTAACACAACTGTGAATACAGAAACAGTTACTTAGATTTACTCAAAGGAAAGCAACATTCAAAACTGCTGTGTAGCTATGTTTATGACATTATTGCCCCAATTGTAAACCCCTTTGACAAGTTACTTTAAGAGGCACCAGTTCCATGGGGCGAAGAAAGTCAATTCTGCTGGTGATCAAAGAATGGATGTATTTTGTTTCTGTCAGATATGGAAAGGTAGGACCAGCAGTATAAGCCCAGTTTTTCAGCACATTGTTTAGGCCGAAAAAGCCCCCCAGCCTATATTCAGGTTGGCTTATACCTGAGTATATATGGTAATTTTATTGGTATCTATTTTATTTTTGAAATTTGCAGCACCCATCCTCAGCTTATACTAGAGTCAATAAGTTTCCCCAGTTTTTGTGGTAAAATTAGGTGCCTTGGCTTATATTAGGACCAGCTTATACTTGAGTATATATGGTACTTAAGTATACTTGACTAAGTAGTGGATAGAGAATACTGAAGAGACTTTTCTACATCCTCAAAGCATACTACCTCAGAATAAATTATAGATATACCATAATTTAATAATGGAAAGTATTTTTTGAAAGAAAAAAGCATTAGTTGATACCCAGATGTTGTTCTCTCTGTTTAGATGGGTGCAACTCCATATCTTCATCTTCCTCATAACTTCTCTTGTGGCGACTTGGTGTGTAAGACGTTGAAGGACAAACTCGAGCTTGGCTTGCACTGGTATAGGCGTAAAATTTATGTTGAGGGTAACAACGACATTCCTTATTTGATAATTCACATTATGTTCTGCTATTTTGATTGCATTTAATTTTTAAGTGACAGACTGAATAACACTCTCTTTTCAGGAGGTGTGTGTCAAGAATGTCAGATATGGAAAGAGTTCTTTATCACACATTCTTTGCACAAGGGCAGAACACAGTTATGAGTACATAGAGTTGTATCAAAGGATAAATCATGTTTTTTTTCCTTTTGAGTAGTTTTGTAGAAAAGAGGACTCAACCAAAGAAAAGGAGCAGGCAGATCAAAATATACCCCTAAGAAGTGAATGAGAAAAAAACACGAGTTATCTTCCAAGATCAGAAATCCTCCAACCTTGAATTAATGTGTGTAATCCACACTCCGGATCCAAAAGTTACTAGAAATCTTCATAACAGTTCCTAAATTGCCTCACAACATCAGCTGGGTTAGAAATGTCTACCTGAGAATTTAACCACAATGGTAATATTCATTCCACAAAAGGATAATTGCTAATTATGTCAATGAGCATGTTTTATGACATTATGCTATTCAAAATTGCTTTCTCCCCCAGGAACATTAATCTGCCCTTTAAAATAAATGTTATACAATTCATTGAAGAAACAGTTACTGCTCTGGGAAACCTACCAGAGGGAACCCTGGTTTTTAGAAGATTTAATTAAATTAAAAAGCCCACACAAAGTATACAAAACCACTGCGGAGAGGTACCTAGGAAGAAGATTCCAGAACTAAGGAAAAATAATCTTTCAAATGCCTGAGAATGTGTATTGCTGTAATCTTCTCTTTTAAAAAGCATACTGATATATAACATAGACAAAATGGTAAAAAGGATATTTCTTTCACCCATGCTGATTCTCCAGGCACTGGAACACAATAAAAAGTCTGTCTGTCTGCAGTGACTATTCGTTTGGGATTTAAGTCTATTTCTTGTTGAGCCTAGAATAGAGAAAAGAATAATACATAGTATTAGACAACTCAAAAATGTCTGTAAGTGCTATCAAAAAGTAAAAGATTTATTATGTTCCTTTAATAAGGAAGACTCGTCTATAGAATTCCCTCCCCAATGAAATCAGGTCAGCTCCCTCCCCTCCTGTCTTTCAGGAAGAAGCTTAAGATGTGGCTGTGGGACCAAACAATCAACCAGTAAGGTAAAAGTTCCCCCTGAGATTAAGTCTAGTCATGTCCGACACTAGGAGGTGGTGCTCATCTAAGCCGAAGAGCTGGCATTGTCCATAGACGTATCCAAAGTCATGTGACCAGTATGACTGCATGGAGCGCCATTATCTTCCCCACAGTGAGTAGAGGACACTGTGAGTGGGCTATAGGGGAAAAATTCTGCTCTTCCCAATAACCCACTAGCAGTGAGTTGTTTGGCATTGCAAGACAACACATCTTTCGTTTTATTATACCAATGAATGGATTTCTAATTATAGTTTCCTTAAGGAACAATACAGGTGATGCATGAGAAGGCACACACAAGTGATGAATTTGTTACAGGACATATCTCTTTAAAACAGTGGTTCTCAACCTGTGGGTTTTGGTCTTTGACTCCCAGAAATCCTAACAGCTGGTAAACTGGCTGGGATTTCTGGGAGTTGTAGGCCAAAACACCTAGGGACCCACAGGTTGAGAACCACTGCTTTAAAGGTTTAACTAAAATGTCAACAAGTATCTATATTCTGAAAATCTGCTGTACATTGACCAATGCAAAAATATGAAAACAAATGCCATAATATTCTTATCTAGTGTTTGTACTTACTGAACATTCTGCTATATCTCTGTATTTTCCAAAATGAGAAACCTGATAAAGAAAATGATAGATTACGGATATATCCTGTTCACACCAATATCTACATATAGCAGAATGGCCTCTGGTCTCGCATTTGTGTTTCTGCTGTGATACATGTCTCAAAATCTAAATTAAATTTGTCAAAGATTTAAGAGTTCTCTTCTGTCTGTCCCTCACAGCAATTCAATGTGCAAGAAATGTTGTCTGTGCTTCCTTAAAAAAAAAACCAACCATCAGTGACTAAAAGAATGCTGGGAATGTCAATTATGGGTATTATCACACAGCTCAGCAATTATTGTTTGTATCCATGCTGAACTGAAAGGTCCACGAGATATCAAGAGGCTATACTAGAAACCTTATAAATGTGTTTAATACACTTTGTCAGGATAACTTAAGAGACAATATTCTGTAGCTCAAGAAGCACAGATGAGCCTTCTGTCATAACATACAATGCAGTTCATCGAAAAATGACATTATGGATTGCACATCCAAGCTCTTGGCATGTCCAGTTATTAGGAGACCTGAAGACGGTCTTCCAAGCCTCAGTAGGAAGAAATATATGCCATTACCTCATTAACTGTGCTAAAATCATGTGAAAATAAATACCAACAAATAAATATTAATGTTCTGCTCAAATAGAACCAAGTTTGATTTTTTTATGTTGTCATTGGAGATGGCAGCTTATAAATGAATAGCATTGTTTTTTTAGAACACAATACAAACAGACAGGAATCCAAGCAATGAATGGGTCCATTTTCCTTAATAGTATTGAGAAAGCATGAATATCCATTCTAATTGCCCTGAGTAGGTGAAGGACCAACTCTCTACTATCCCACTAATTTAAGTGAGGCCCCATCCACTCTGCCATATAATGTAGTTAAACTGCAGTTAAACTCCAGTATCTGGCAGAGTAGATGGGGCCTAAGACAATATACATTAAAGCTGTATTTCTTAGGACAATTCAGATCAAACCAGACCTGAACTTAATTAGTTCCAGCTTACAAAAGAGGAAGCAAGTGCTTCATTTACAAAGTTTACTCTAGGGATCTATAACAATATACAGATCAGTGAAACTTAAACTACTTCCCTTTCCCAATTCTTCAGTCACTCCTTAAAATATAACTCTTTCCCTCTGTGCTTTCTTTTCCTGTACTAACTTTACATACTTTCTTCCAAGAGCATGATGGTTCTAAATTGCATCTTGTTTTGGACTGACTGTTTGCCATCTCAATTCCCAGTGCTTTGTTTTAAAAGGGCAGAGTATGGATATTATCTTTGTTTTATGGAAGGCACTACTTTGACCTCTCTCATGTGCTATGTTCTTGCAAAAGTGGATTTGGGGGGTTGAACTTTTCCTCCCCTGGTATACATGCAAGAGGATTTGGGAGTAAAAGGAGAATGGCTGTTTTTTTTTTTCCATTTCTCCTAGAGCTTCTGCAAAAGCAGAGTCACAGGCTGCTTTCATAAAGGCCTTGTGCAAAATGTAGCAACAAGCAAAGATCTGGGAGAGGGTGTGGATGGTGCCACCCAGAAATAGTATTTAGTTAGCGTGGGCATCTGTAGAATAAGGACACTATGAACAAAGGCGTGCGTAGACAAGTATGAAAGAGACACAGGACTGCAATCAAGAAAGTCCACTTACACGTGATTTAGTATGTATGTCAACTGTTTCATAAACATTCATATAAAATTCAGGATCAAACATATCTTGAACCATACAGCGAAATTTTACTAAACTATTGGGCTTCAGATAATGGAGAGGGACATCATTCAATGAAGGCACCTATATATAAAAAAAGAAAATATTAAATGGATCGTTTGAATTAATCAGAATTTCACTTACTACCTTTCAATCAGTAATGTATACAATATTCAAAATAATCAATTGAGATACACACACAGAGCTGGGATAACTAATGTATACTCTTCCGAATCCAGACTTAATGAGACCATATGCACACTGAATTATACTACTAGTCTAGTCTATCTAAATTTGATTATAAATCTCAATTAACATAAATCTAATGACTCAATGGGGATTAGGTAAATCAACTCTTACATAATTCCTACAGATGCAAAGGATTCAATTTAGTTAGGACTAGCAACTGGATTGAAGCCAAAATCTGGAATCAACCTATACTTAAATAAACCAGCTATATCCTTTCTGTTCATTCATTTAGCTAAAATGGAATTATGTAAGAGTGAAAATATTGTTACTAGACAATACTAATTTTCCCCCAAATTGTTTGTGGTAAAGAAATTGTTTGCTGCTAGGTTTGGGACACTGACATGTTGGGGGACATGAGCCAAGTCACATGTTCTACATTAATTTAGCTCTTCATTCTAATATGTAAAAAGTATATGTTTGGCTTTAAAAGGAACACAGTTTGAATCATCACACTGCATTAATATAGTACACATACTCAATTCTCTAATTCAATTTATGTTCTCTATTATAAGACTTAATTGTCCATTACTCAAACAATATCCCAGACTCCTAGAACAAGTGAAGCCCTACTTGTACTGATATTTACAAGTAAGACTTCACAAGAATTAATAGGTACTTACTAAATAACTTGACTATTACAATGTTTTATGATAGCTAAGGTGAAATCAATTTACATTCAAACAACTCACAGACATTGAAAGTAAGAGCTGTCTGGGGCTGAAGTTATCGCTCTGTGTCATATTGCTATATTTTCATGACTTTTACTACCTACACCATGTTTATCCTAAACATATGATAGCATACCTTAAGGATGTTAAGGATAGAGGCAACAAGATATACATATGGGATATTTAACACAATATATAACTGCACTGGGGCAGGGGGCATTTTTTCCTGGCTCTTTCTCACATCTTGATTGATCAAATGTAATGTCAAGTCAGGAGAAAATGATGCTAGAACATAGCCATATAGACTGGAAACCTTACAAAACCCCAATGATTCCAGCCATGAAAGTCTTCAACAATACAGTGTCAAGTCACCTTCACTCCTAAGCTCAAAAATGACAGATTCTGTCCATTTTTATAAGGTTTTTGTAGGTATTTGGTAATGGCAGGCCAATGTAACTTTCCTTATTCCTTGTATAGAACATTGTGTTTGCTACTCACTAACAGCAGAGCTCAAATGCTTCATCTATGATCTGACTTAGTACACATCTGCATGTATGCAGCTACCCTCTTGCCTTACTGCAAATAATATCAAAAGACTTGTCATAAAGAATGGAAAAAAATACTCATCTTAATGCAATTTTGCCATTTTTACTCAAGTTCCCAAAAGCTCAACTAGTACTAATACAAAACTTTGTTGAACACCATGTCTAATCCCACTAGCAATATCACTTCTGTATTTCTCTGTTTATCGTCTAAGCCACTTGATCTCACAGTCCTTGAGGTCTCATTCAACTTATTTCAGTGTCTGTCAAGCTAATAAAACTGTTTCAGTTCCACCTTCTCCTAACATTTTTTTTCTCAAAATCTTTTATCATCTTTTATCTTGGGAATAGTACATTCATTTCACTACTTTTTCAGACCACTCAACTTATGAAATGAAATCTACTCATTTCTGGGAAAGTCAGTCAAGGGATGAATACCTGTGACTCCTGGCTGGAGGTTAGTTACTCTGAACTACCGTCCAGCACTTTATCAAGAGTTGGGAGAAGACTATGCCCCTTGCTTCAAAGATTACTGCATTCCCAAATTTGCTTATAGAAGAAAAACATGGAACTTGCTCAGACAAAAGAGACATCCACTTTTATATCCTCCTCTTGCTAGCAACCTTCAGATCTTGACCTTTCCCATCGCCGAGAGGTGTGTGCATGTGTACAAATAGATGCCCTCCATCAAGTGAATCTGTGGACCCTCATGATTGTGCACACTGAGCTGCAGGACGATCTCCAAAACAAAAGGACAGCACCACAAGATGTATATAAGCAAGTGCAGTCTTACCCAGTTAGTGGCATTATTTTCTTTTAGCTTCTCTCTGAAGTATTCAATTACTTTTTTTTCCCATTCTGGGTTTGGACTATTTTGAGCTAAAATAAAACATATAAAATGAACTGAAATACAGCAGCATGATCTAAAACAAAGAGAACTTGCATATTTACTCATCTAATACAAAACAAAACAGAAGTAAAAATTATCATTCACTAGGTTACTTAATTACAGGACTTGAGTGCACGGGTTCTTTGTTTGATAGAATCTCATGTCTGCAAAATTAGCCACTACTGTGACAACTTTTTGAGTTGGTAGGCATGTAGATAGGGGCCATATGGCAAAATACAATTTGATGAATACTGTGCCAAATGAAGAATTGTTTGCTCGTCAGTAACTATCTCTCTCATTAAAAAAAAAAAACCTGCCAAGCCATGGATTTTAGACTAAATTCCCTATTCTCTGTTATGTTCTTTCATTGTTTCACTGGTAGTAGCATTTTCTGGTCAACCACCTGTAGTACTGACAGCTTTCCTTTTTTGTAGGTAACAATCAGTTTCCTCTTAAAGCTATTACAAACAGAAACATTACTTTTGTTTTCAAACCATCAGTGGGCTACAATAAAATGCAGGTAACAGTGGGAACCAGAAACATATTTATCTGTCCTAATTATATTAGTATAAGTAGGAAACATGAACTAGCTTGGAAAATGTGGTAGGTAAAGAAACCAGGAGAATGTAACCAAGAGCTTTTCACGCTGGCATAGAGAAGTAGAACAACTTTAATTTCTAACTGAAAAAAGTACTGAAAATGTTAATGTGAAACTGTGCTTGGCACAAGCACTATGAACACACATTTTATATGTTAAAAGTTTGCATTTTTATTGTATCACAAAAGTATTAATTCAAAATGCGATTGATTTTATATTACATTTAGTACCCCTCCCCCCGACACACTGAAAACCAAAGTGGCTGAAATAATTTTAAAGCAAGGAAAAAACAAATTGAAATTAAAAAATCAGTTATATTAAGTGACTACGCAAAACAGTATGTTTAAAATATATGTATTCCAAGTAAAGTACTGATTTCTTAGAAGTGAATCAAGATTCAATTGCAAGCTTGAGACAGGGAACTGTTAGATGAACAATTGTAACAATTGTCACGTAAAGCGCCACGTGCACAAACTTAAATTGGATTTTCCATGCAAAACAATGAAGCTGAGATTAAAAGATGTCTCTTAATGACAAACCTGAGCTTATCCTCTTGTCCACAAATGCCCATGAATTCAGTGGAAAATCCGATAGAACTATGCAGCTGGTTCACAATTGTGCAGAGCTCAAATAGGATTACAGCTGCACACAAGTAATAGGCTCTTTTCGAACATCATGTGGAGGTGCAATCAATTTTTTTTGTTTCCCTCCATGTGCTCAGTGTCCACACTATTTTTAAAAAGTCTCAAAGTTTATAAACATGACCCAGTGCATCATTACATTATCACTATTGCACCACCTAACATCCGTTGGAAAGTAGCAGCCAGTAATGAAAGGACTACGACATTGACATCTCCAGCCCATCCTCTGTTCAGATATCAGCCAGCACACCAACGTCTTAAATCAAGAAATAGCTTCCTAGGATCTACAGAGATACTTGCAGAAACAACTAAGAAAGGGAGAGTCCAAAAGTGGCAGGCTAAAACCCAGAACTTCAATCAGTGGCTGATACTGGATGAGAAACTCTGTCCTGGGCACACAGTATACTAGGCGACTTGGAAGGTGCTGAACAGACTGCACTATGAGATGCAGAGCCAATCTTAAGAAATGGGGCTACAAAGTAGAGTCCATGACACACAAGTGTGGAGAAGAGCAAACCACAGACCACCTACTACAATGTAGCCTGAACCCTAACACATGCACAATGGAAGACCTTCTCATAATGACACCAGAGGCACTCCAAGTGGCCAGCTTTTGGTCAAAGGAAAATTAGTATAATGCCAAGTTTTTAACTTTGTGGCTTTTTTATACATTAAAACTGTATTCTTAATTTGCTTCCGACATGATGAAAAAACCAAAACAAACTACAGTACACTATTACTGCATTTGTGGTCACACAATGAATATTTAGAGTAGTTCTCAACCTGTGGATCCCCAGATGTTTTGGCCTTCAACTCCCAGAAATCCCAACAGCTGGTAAACAGGCTGGGATTTCTGGGAGTTGTAGGCTAAAACACCTGGGGACCTACAAGTTGAGAACCACTGATTTATATCAATCTTACTCAACATGCTCCCCCAATACACTCATGACAACTCCATTATGGATGAAGATGATGGTATTTATAATTTAACACAACTATATGAAGGATATAATGTTGAGAAAAACTGATAATCCATCAACTGCATAGCACAGATATTTATATTTCTTGGCATCATTAATAACCTATGGTTATTAATAAAGTGATGGGATGTGGGTGTCCTATTTATCCTGTCTAAATGAGACCACTTGAAGAAATACTTCTAGTTCAGCAAACTGACTAGTCCACTAATGTTGTCTACCAAATGACTACTTTGTTCTGAAAAATTTAGGCACTTTGATTTCAAACAGATTTCAGTGCTGCTACATTTGAGAAACATGTTGAAGGATTTTTTCAAAGAACTGTGTTAATAAGTATAGAATTTGTTGAGCAAAAGATTTAGGAACCCAGAGATCGAAAGATTATATTTCTGGATAGTGAAAGGTCTACTAAACTGCAGGGTAGCATAAAATATATTAATATGTGTTGCAGTAACTAACTATGATGCGTACTTGTTGAATCCCTTTTCTTAAGAATTTAAATTGATCCACTTTGTGAGATACAAATACCCCACTTAGATTAGTACCGGATATTCCAAGGAAAGAAAACAAATAAAACATGACACTGCCTGATTAGTACCTAGCTTTGACACGCACCAGCCTCAGGGCCAATCACCTTATTTTGACCTCTTCAAGCATGCCTGTCTAGTGATTACACTCTCAAAAGAGGGGCAGACAGTACTTAAGTCTGTCTGGAAGCCTCAGCACATGACTTAAAAGCCATCTCCTTTGTTTTACTTTCCTCACCCCAGAGATGAGAAAGGTGGGGTGTCGACACCAAAGCACACGATCAGAGATACTCTTTCCTCCCTGGAATCTTTTAAACAGAGGTTGGATGGCCACCTGTTGGGGGTACTTTGTGCTTTTCCTGAATGGCAGGGGATTGGACTAGATGTCCCCTGTGGTCTCTTCTAACTCTATTGTACTATGATGACAATAATAATTAAAAAAAATCACAGTCCTAGATGCTTGGGAATTGTTCAACTTGTGATTTTGTAATACGAAATCCAGCATATAGATCTCGTTTGCTGTGACATGCTGTGGTTTTGTGTCAGATAATAATAATAATAATAATTTTATTCCCATGTTTTCTCATGGCTCGAGGTCAGTTTCCAAACAATTAAAATATATAAGCATAGCGAAAACACTACAAATGCACACACTAAAATGCACCTACACAAAAGTTACACATGAAATCGAATCTCTACAAAATACATAGTAAAACACACAAAACAGAGATCAAGCAAAGGATACTTAAAAGTCATGTTTAAAGACTGAGTAGGCCTACCAGAAGAGATAAGTCTTCACTCATGTCTTAAACGACTGGCAGGTCGTCCCATAGACTTGGGGTGGCTGATGAAAAGGTCCTTTGGGTAGTGGCTGCCAGTTGGGTTCTGGCTGGTTGGAGCAGACACCCCCCCCAGAAGACCAAAGTGTGTGGGGCGGATTGAATGGGAGAAGGCAATCCTTTGGGTAAACTGGACCCAAACCATGTAGGGCTTGAAAAGACAAAACCAAAACCTTGCACTTTGCTTGGAAACTAATTGGCAGCCAGTGGAGTGACTTTAGGATGGGTGTGATATGCTCACTCCTAGATGTTCCTGTAACCAATCTGGCTGCTGTATTTTGAATCAGCTGGAATTTCCGAACTTGGTACAAGGGTAGCTCAATGTAAAGCACGTTGAGATTACTATGCTACTCTATTGCTGAGTATGCATGCCCAGTGTGGAACACATCTCACCATGCTAAAACAGTGGATGTGGCTCTTAACGAGACATGCCACATTATCACCGGGTGTCTGCACCCTACACCACTGGAGAAATTACACTGTTTAGCCGGTATTGCACCACCTGACATCTGCTGGGAAGTAGCAACCAATAGTGAAAGGACCAAGGCAGTGACATCTCCAGCTCATCCCCTGTTTGGATATCAGCCAGCACGTCAACGACTTAAAATCAAGAAATAGTTTTTAAGACCTACAGAGACACTCGCTGGAACACCCCAGCAAGCAAGAGTCCAAAAGTGGCAGGCTCAAATCCAGAACCTCAATCAATGGCTGATACCAAATGAGAGACTCCCCCCTGGGCACACAGAAAACTGGGCGACTTGGAAGGCGCTGAATAGACTGCGCTCTGGCACCTTGAGATGCAGAGCCAACCTTAAGAAATGGGGCTACAAAGTGGAACCCACGACATGCGAGGGTGGAGAAGAGCAAACCACTGACCACCTGCTGCGATGCAACCTGAGCCCTGCTACATACACAATGGAGGACCTTCTTATAGTAACACCAGAGTGGCCAGATACAGGCCAAAGGACATTTAATCAACTACCAAGCTTGCAAACTTTGTGTTCTGTTTGTTTGTTAAAAAATGCAATGCAACTGTTTGGTCTGCTCCTGACACGATAAATAAATATATCTGGCAGTGTGGACACGTATAATCCAGTTTAAAGCAGATTATCAAGACAGATAACCCACAATGAAGCCCCCTCCACACATTGAACTGGATTACCTGAGTCCACACTGCCATCTAATCCAGTTCAATGTGTGGAAGGGGCCTCAGTCTTGTCTTTCAGCCTTTTTGTTGCTGTTTCCCTCCCCGTGGGCCTGAAGTCACAACCTCTCCTCTCTCCCTTCCCTTCCCTTCCCTTCCCTTCCTTCTTCCTCACCGAAGACGCCCTGCACGATGCTGAGGGGGCAGTTCAGCCAGTCCGCCACACACGGCATCTCCCCGCTTCTGGGAAGCCTTCAGGCCGGGGATAAGAAGCGGAAGCGGAGGCACGAATGGCTCCAAACACGGAGGAAGCAAACAAGCCGAGTATCTGCTCCCTTCCTCCTCCTCCTCCTCCTTCTTCTCCTTCTTCTTCTCAGGGCTGAGGCGATGGCAGCGTAAGCCACGCCTCTTCCTCTCTGCTCAGCGCGGGCTCAGGTTGGCGCGAGAGGAAAGCGGAAGTCGGCAGTGGCGCCATTTTGGATTCGGGCGGAAGAGGCCGGCCGGAAGTGCTGAGGGACAGAAAGAGACAGAAAGCGAAGGCTGAGACGTGGACTGTGGAGAGAGTGTGTGTGTGAGAGAGAGAGAGACATGGCTGCCCCGAAAGCCTCCGTGGCCGCGGGAGGCCTCTCCTCCGGCGCGAATAGCGGCACCAACTTGCTCTTCTCTTCGTCAGCGACTGAGTTCAACTTCACCGTCCCCTTCATCCCGGTCAGCCAGGCCCCAGCGCCGCCCCCGCCGCCTCCTCCTGGCCTCCTGCCCTCAGGTGAGCCCAGACCCAAGAAGGAGAAGGCGGCCTTGGAGCGGAAAGCATCGCGCCTCCGGGGATGCTTGTTATGTTAGACCCCTTCCACACAGCTGAACAAATCCCCAAATTATCTACTTTGAACTGGGATATATGGCAGTGTGGACTCAGATAACGCAGTTCAAAGAAGATCTTGTGGGATTTTCTGCCTTGATATTCTGGGTTATATGGCTGTGTGGAAGGGCCCTGTGAATGTCAATCTATATCAGTGGTTCTCAACCTGGGGGTCACGAGGAAATGTCAGAGGGGTCACTAAAGACCACCAGAAAACACAGTATTTTCTGTTGGTCATGGGGGTTCTATGTGGGAAATTTGGCCCAATTCTGTCGTTGGTGGGTTCAGAATGCTCTTTGATTGTAGGTGAACTAAATCCCAGCAACTACAACTCCCAAATGTCAAGGTCTATTTTCCCCAAACTCCACCAGTGTTCACATTTGGGCATATTGAGTATTTGTGCCAAGTTTGGTCCAGATCCATCATTGTTTGAGTCCACAGTACTCTCTGGATGTAGGCGAACTACATCTCCAAAACTCAAGGTCAATGCCCACCAAACCCTTCCAGTATTTTCTGTTGGCCATGGGAGTTCAGTGTACCAAGTTTGGTTCAATTCCATCGTGCAGAATGCTCGTTGATTGCAGGTGAATTACAAATCCCAGCAACCACAACTCCCAAATGACAAAATCAAGCCCCCCCCCAACCCACCAGTATTCAAATATGGGCGTATCAGGTATTTGTGCCAAATTTGGTCCAGTGAATGAAAATACATCCTGCATATCAGATATTTACATTAGGCTTGATAACAGTAGTAAAATGACAGTTATGAAGTAAGAAGGAAAATAATTTTATGGTTGGGAGTCACCACAACATGAGGAATTGTATTAAAGGGTCACAGCACGAGGAAGGTTGAGAACCCCTGATCTTTGTAAATACAAATGTAATGTTAGTTTGTGGGATTAACAGAACTCAAAAACCATTGGACGAATTGACACCAAATTTGGACACAAGACACTTAACAACCCAATGTATGTCCTTCACTCAAAAAAAATGGATCTTGTCATTTGGGAGTTGTAGTTGCTGGGATTTATAGTTCACCTACAATCAAAGAGCATTCTGAACCCCACCAATGATGGAATTGAACCAAACTTGGCACCCAGTTCTCTCATGAGCAACAGAAAATACTGGAAGGGTGTGGTGGGCAGTGTCCTTTGGTTTTGGAGTTGTAGTTCACCTACATCCAGAGAGCACTGTGGACTCAAACAAGGCTTTGCTCCTTCCTGGAGGATCGTACCCAGATGGTGATGCTGAGGAACACCTGTTTCGATCCCTGGAGATTGACCTGTGGGGTCCTGCAAGGTTCCATTCTTTCCCCCATGCTTTTCAATATCTACATGAAACTGCTGGGTGAGGTCATCCAGAGTTTTGGAATTGGGTGTCATCTCTATGCAGATGATAAACAACTCTTCTACTCTTTTCCACCCCAGTCCAAGGAAGCTTCCCAGATCCTGGACCAGTGTCTGGCAGCTGTGATGGATTGGATGAGGGCCAACAAGCTGAGACCTCATCCTGACAAGACAGAGGTTCTTCTGGTCAGTTGCGAGACCAATTGGGGCATAGGGTGACAACCTGTGCTCAATGGGGTTACACTTCCCTTAAGACACAGGTCTGCTGTCTGGGGGGTCCTCCTGGACTCATCATTGACACTTGAAGCTAGGTGTTGGCAGTGGCTGGGAGGGCCTTCACACAATTAAAACTTGAGTGCCAACTGCAACCGTACCTCGAAAAGCATGACTTAGCCATGGTAGTCCATGCCTTAGTTACATCTAGAGTGGACTATTATAATGCACTCTACGTGAGGTTCAGAAATTTCAATTACTGCAAGATCAGCTGCCAGATTACTAACTGGAGCTAGCTATAGGGAACATACTGTGCCCCTATTAAAGCCGCTTCATTGGCTTCTGATAATTTTCTGGGCTCAATTCAGTTCTAGCTTAAAAACATGGATTTTTGAACAGGCAGTTTCGCTTTGCATAGGCTGAAATGGGCCTATATTAGAATGACACTTTGGCACTTTAGTTGTGTATTCATGGTAGCTAGTTTTAACCATTGATGGGAAGTGTTTTTAAATTGTGGATTTTATTTTATGTGTTGATAGTGGTTTATAACTTTTATGTGAAATTGTTTTATACTCATGTACTGTTGATGTTTATACTGCACTTGCAGTGCCTTTTTAGCCTCCTTGAGTCCCTTTTTGGGAGATGGGAGGTGGGATACAAATAACAATTATATTATTAGTAGTATTATTAGTTTCAGAATAATATGCTGTCATATTATCCAGTTCAGTGTGTTGCTCAAGATTTTTACTAATGATACTTTATGAATGTTCATTATATGAGTGTATGAATGTTCGTTATAGTAAATGATTTTTACAGAGGAAAGTTGATATTGTTGAGCTAGTGGAGCTAGAAATTGTGTTCCTGCTCTGTGACAGCTTTAAAAAGTGAGTAGTAGTACAGTTAGTTTAGAAGTGTGTTTTCAGATGTCAACACTTCTTGCTTCCAGCAGCGAATGTCTTTATAGGATTCTTTGCATGTTTGCGTGTTGCATATTTGAATAATTGTAATAATTGGGCTTTGTGGGAGTGGCCACTTTTAATTTGTGTAGGATTGCTATGTTCTTCCCCCTCTTGTTACATTAATTATTGATCTATAGTTTTTCCTGATACCTGCATTCCTTAAGTACAGGGACTCAACATGTGGGGATATATTTGAGCTGTCCATGCTTGCTGAAGTGAAATATTTCTACTAATTAAATTAAAGAAAATGTAACTTCAACACCAGATTTGAGGGCGGATTTGTTTGTTACTGAGTTTATAAAATCCAACATTCAGTGTTTTGGTAGAAGCAAAACATTTTTCTAGAATTCCTCGTATTTACTCGAGTCTAATGTGCTAATAAATCTAATATGCACCTCAGTTTTCAAATCCTTGAAACAAAAAAAAAAATTAAATTGCTGGCAAATGTAATGTGTAGTGGCAAAAGGCATTCTTTGTCATTTGGCCAAAAGTGCACATTAGGGTGCATACTTATCATTCCCTCTTTAAAAATAAAAGTGTTGGAACACCAAAGCTTTCAGCAATGGAAAAGATATCCTTTGTAGTTTATTCATTCAGTCGCTTCTGATTCTTTGTGACCTCATGGACCAGCCAAGGCCAGAGCTCCTTGTTAGCTGTGGCCACCCCCAGTTCCTTCAAAGTCAAGCCAGTCACTTAAAGGATACCATCCATCCATCTTGCTTTTGGTTGGCCCCTCTTCTTTTTTCCTAAGATGTCCTAAGATATCCTTGGGATGCATCTGTGCTGTAGAATAAATCCACCTTGACTGCCTTGGCTCAGTGCTATGGGGTCATTAGGGCTGTAGTTTGGAATCATGGGGGCTTCCAAAGAATGCTGATGCCTCACCAAACTACAAATTCCAGGATTGCATAGCATTAAGCCATGACAGTTAAATTAGAGATGACATCCATCTCCTAAAGTGACTTCCCCTTTTGCTTTGGCTTAACACTAAGATTAGCATATCTAATGTGCACCCCAATTTTGGGAAAATAATGTAGCCAAAAAAGGTGAGCATTAGATTTGAATAAAAACAGTATTTCATACTAGCGGGGGATTATTATATCTTTCCTAGGAAAACAGGGAGCAAGTGTGCGTCTACATGTCTTGAAGTTACAAAGAACCCAGGTCAGGTAATTTATTGTAGTGCAAACTTTTGGGCACTAGAACCTGCTTTATTAAAGGCTTGTTTTCTTACTTTAGATTATTCCAATATCTCATGGTAGATTGTAAATCTTGACTTACTTTTTGAACTCTAGATCCATGTAGTATATCCGGTTCTTTCATTAGTAAACTGTGGTTATCAAAGATGATGTAACTTCCTTTTGACAACATATTTGGTAATGTGAATTAGAATGTAATTATACTTTTGCTAGTCTTCTAATAGAGGTTGTGGTTTTAAAAACCATTTTGGAAAAACAAAAAAGTATTTTATCTCATAATAGTCGCAAACCCCTTTTTGAGGTTCCAGTTAGGGAGAGACCTATGGGGTCTCCCTTGGTTACTGGCCAGGTAAAGCCCCATAGGCCTTATTTCACCTCATAATAGTCGCACCCCCTTTTTTGATGTGGGGGAAAGTGTGACTATTATGTGATGAAATACAATAACTTAATGATTGGTACATGTCTTCAGAAGTTATTTCAAATTTCAGTTATTTTTGAGAAATTGTGGTAAACACAAATTAGGGTTTCATTATGATTCGTTATGTCAAGGAATAATTTGAATTTAGTACTTAGGATAACTTGCAACATTGCCTTTAATTGTTAAAAGGGAAGTAATTTTGACAGCCCTTTTCTGTTTTAATGTGAAAGTGATCTGCAAAAAGTTTACAGTGCTCTAAATGCATTCCTTATTGGATAGTCATGTTCAAAAGCATATTAAATATTAAGACATTAAATGTCAATAAAATATCATGGCATGTTAGTTAAATGACTTTTAATCAAATAGTAATGTTTGATATTTAATGTGAACTTTGTTATTACTAGTTAGTGACGTAACTAGGACAAAAAGCAGTATTCTTTCCTTTGGAGAAGGGATACAATTGTATCAGAGTGAGTGAATTGGATGTCTAAACAATTAAAAACCATCTACAGATTTAGCCAGAATATGGAATTACTGGTCATATACAGTAAGGTATGGCTCTTCTTCCTGTTGTGCTGCTCTGTATCTAAGCAAAAGGGATATAGGCAAAAGGAAAAAAAATGACTTTATTGAAATAGTAAGTCTATTTTTTTTTTTAAAAAAAAAGAGATAACCATGGAGAATAACTTCACTTGGTAGAGGAAAAAAAAATAAAGCCCTGCCATATCTCAACTCTTTTTGTTTTTTAATGTGCAATTATGGCCTTTTTTGGGTCAAAAACTATGACTATGGTAACTAGTCCTGGTTTTAAAGCTGCAAATGAAATGAAAGTGCTGTAAGAGAATTTTGAATAGTTTAAGCCATTTTAGGGAAGACTCCAACAAAAGTGATAATTACTAGAATTTGAGCAAAAAATAGCATGTGTAATGAAGAAAAGAGTGATGAGAGAATTTGCAGTATGAAAGAACTTGCACTATTGAAGCAACAAGAGGAGTAAACACCTATGAGGAATGAGCAAAAACCTTTTCCCCTCCAAACAGCAATGTTGAAAAAAATGCATACATATACAGTAGGCTTTCCGCCTTCACAGCACCTAGGCATGCGAGTCCCCTGCAATAATAGGAAAGCTGCATTTTTAAAAAGCAAGATAATACATTTAGAAAGCTTTATGGTCAACATCTGCCAGAATAATCAAATCCACAAAAGTTAAAACCAGAGATGTTATGACATGTTGTTCCTTGAAATGTCTGGCCTAAGGATGGTTTTCTTTAATATTTAAATGGACATAACAGAAAATAATGGATTTACTTCAAATCCATATCTCCTTGGTAGGACACATGGGAAAGTCCCATGGTCAATCTTTATCTCGAATAGAAAGTGCTTGTTTACAGTTCTAAGAAAGGCCTTGGAGATTTGTTGCCAGGCAGTGACATTTTGGCATTGTTCAAGAATTGGCTTTTTTCTTGACCAAAAGGTTGAATTTGCTTGTTAAAATGGGAAAACTGAGAAGTTTATGTACTCTCTGAAACTTAACAGTATTTCAGTGGAAGACCCTAGGGGCCATCCATTCCAACCACCTTCTGCCTTGCACAGTCAAAGCACCCCCAACAGGTGGCCATCCAGCCTTTGCAAGAATGATGATGATGATGATGATGATGATGATGATGATGATGATAGGTGCAACCAAGAGGCTACCCTGTCCAACCTGCTTCTGCCGTGCAGGAAAATCACAGTAAAAGCAGCGCCTAGGAGGTCTCATAGGCTACACTGCCAGAGGTGCAAGGGAGATCTCATAGGCTGTGCTGCCAGCCTTGTGCTTCCTAGGTAGGGGGGTGGGGGTCATGTGGGGTGGAGCCCCTGACTGTGCTTCACGGAGTCGTGGAGCACAGTTTGAGAACCGCTGCATTAACCTAATACAAAAAAAGTTAGTGTCGGGAACTGATGTGTTCAAGCGTACCTTTTAAAAATAATCGTTATGTCCTTTGTTGCAGATGATGCCACTGATGTTGGTGAAGAAGACAGCTTCCTAGGCCAGACTTCTGCAAATCCTATTCCTCCACCAACATTCAGTTATTTTTCCCAAGTTCCTAGTAGCAGTGATCCCTTTGGAAGCATTGGACAATCACCCTCAGGAGTGACATCTTCACCTCAAACTGGGATGTCTGTTTTCTCCAAGCCTCCAGCATCTCTCCCGCTTCTGCCTGGAACACAAGACGGGCCAAGTACTTTCTCAGCAGCTCCTTCTAAATCACAGTCTTTTAGCACACCACCAACTTCTCTACAAGGAATTAGTTCATACCAAATGTCCCAGCAGAGTGGTCCTCCAGTGGCTGGCTTTTCAACTCCTCCTCATGGCACATCACAGCAAAGCTACAACCCATATCGTCACACTACTATAAGCAGTAGAGCCAATCCTTACATCACTCCACCACAGCTGCAGCAGAGTCAGCCACCCACCCAGAGTGTCCAGCCATCACCTCCTGTACCATCCACCCAAATGTATTCAACTCCTCCAGGGTCACTTCCACCGGTATGAAATTTTTCTTTTAACATTTAGGAAATAGTATTAGACTTTGAAAGCCTGTATCAGGTTGCTTTAACCTGTGGTCTTCTAGGTCTTTGTGCCTCCAACTCCTGGAACTGAAATCCATAAACACCTGGGAGCCCACAGGTTGAAGAGGCTTGGTCTATAGCTTTTGACTTGGGGTTCTTTTCCCTCCATCTTCCAGTCTTTCCTATAGTTCAGAATAGTGAATAGGAGGTACTTGGGAATGAAAAGGCCAGAATAAACTGTTTGGAAAGTATTACTGGACTAAATATATTTATTCTTAAATGAAATGTATGTGCCAGCCTCCCTCAAGCTGATGTCTTTCAGATGTTGGAGAAAAACTGCCTGCATCCTCAAGAACCATTGGCTGATATCTTCATTTATGGTTTTGATTCCTCCATGGTTCTCATTCCTATGGTGACTATTAGATAGGGCAAAAGAAAGGGAAAAGTTTGTATTTCAATGAATATTTGACTTCTTAATATTACAGTACAGTAGTTCCTTTGGTCCTCCAGGTGTTTTGGACTTCAACTTGCAGAAATCCCAGCCAGCTAAGCAGCTGTTAGAAATTGTGGGAGCTGAAGTCCAAAACATTTGGAGAACCAAAGGTTGGGAACCATTGATATAGAAGATAAAATGACTGGAATTCTCTTTAACTGGTTTAACTATACTGTCACGTCCCAACTTCCCAATCCCACTTACTAAGCAACAGCTTCTATGAGGAACAGGTATCTATCTGTTCCTCTGTCAATTGGGAAACAGCTGATTGATGTTAGTTCTGACATGCAGAAGCATGGTCCCTGTCCTAGTTCCCTTTTGCACAAGAGATTGTTTACACAAGAGGGATAGAAATGTCAGCCAGCTGTTTCCCAATCAGTATGAATACAGACCCTTGGGTTGCTTACAACAGCTGCCCCATAAATGAAGATTGAGAATATTTCACAGTACCTACACACATACAGTTCTAAACTAGGGAATATGTGGGGATCATGAACCAGTAACAAATGCATTACTGTAGGCCAGCGGTTCTCAAATTTTTAAAGCCACAGAGCCCTTTTTTAAGGAAAAGTTTCTTGTGGAGCCCCAAGAAACTTTTGGACACAGGAGCTGCATTCCATTTTAAAATTTGAACAGATGAGCCAGGTCAGTGGATGGAGAATGTTTGTGTGAACTAATTGACAAAAACACGAACGGACTGCATATTGCATATACCGTGCATGTAGTGCAAAAAGAAAGAAAGAGAGAAAGAAAGAACAACACAACATTTATAATGAAGAACAGTTTTAACCAACATAAACTTAACAGTATTTCAGTGGAAGACTCCACAGGCCATCCACAGGAGGTCCCAACCTCCTTCTGCCTTGTAGGAGAATCACCGTCAAAGCACTCCCAACATGTATTATTATTATTATTATTATTATTATTATTATTATTAACTTTATTTGTACCCCGCTAGCATCTCCCGAAGGACTCGATGCGGCTCACACAGGCCGAAGCCTCAAAACACAGTACAACAAAACATAACACAACAACAAAACAGAAGCAAATCAAAATAGTTAAGCAAATAACAACAACAGTAACAATACATCAGGACACTTTAAAACTGGGCCGGCCAGAGCAGTGGGTACAGGGTTAAAAGTGCTGAAATGGCAGGATTAAAATAGTGCAGTGTGCAGCGATCTTAATTATACTAAAGTGCTTCTAGGACTTGGGATGGGGAATTCCTAATCTGAGAAGGCACATCGGAACAGCCAAGTTTTTAGGTTCTTTCTGAAAGCTGCTAGAGTAGGGGCCTGTCGAAGATCTTTTGGAAGGGCGTTCCAAAGTCGGGGGGCCGCCACAGAAAAGGCCCTGTCCCGTGTCCCCACCAAGCGCGCTTGCGACGTGGGTGGGATCACGAGCAGGGCCTCCCCAGATGACCGGAGTGAGCGTGTGGGTTCGTAGATGGAGATGCGGTCACGCAGGTAGGGTGGTCCCAAACCGTTCAGGGCTTTGTAGGTGAGCACCTGCACCTTAAATTGGGCTCGGAAAATAAATGGCAGCCAGTGGAGCTCCTTAAACAGAGGGGTAGACCTGTAGTCATGTAACATGTAGTCATCCAGCCTTTGCAAGAATAAGAATAAGAACAATAATAATAATACAAGTAGTAGGAGCAACCAGGGGCCACCCGGTTCAACTTGCTTCTGCCTTGCAGGAAAATCAAATTCAAAGTGGCGCCTGGAAGGCCTCATAGCTTGCAGTGCAATGGAGGCCACGTACTTCCCCGGGGGAAGGGGGGGGCGGAGCCACTGACTGCTTTGCAGAACCCTAAGAGCTCCGTGGAGCACAGTTTGAGCCCCATTGCCCTAGACCAGTGGTTCTCAACCTGTGGGTCACATGGTGTTTTGGCCTACAACTCCCAGAAATCCCAGTCAGTTTACCAGCTGTTAGGATTTCTGGGAGTTGAATGCCAAAACGTCTGGGGACCCACACGTTGAGAACCGCTACTATGCATTTATAGCTGCCTTTGTGAAGTCTGCCCAAAATTTCATTAAACGATTGATCAGTGGACCACTTTAAAATTGTAAGTGAATTTTAAAAATTGTAAGTGAATTTTAAACATTCCCACAACATTCTGAAACTTATTGAATTTTCAGGAAATTTAACTTTGGAAAATTGTATTAATTTGAATTTCATGTTTGGATGTCCTAAATTTAATTAAGCTTGAAAATATTTAGTGATCAAGTATATGGAATTAAGTAACTGAGAACAAGCTTGTTAGACTTGAGATGCGGTGATTCTAGAAGTTATTTGAAGAAATAGAACTAATGTGCATGATTGTTATAATCCAAAAGGCAAATGAATTTTGTGGGTGTGATAATCTGGAATTAAAAAGAGCAAAAATTCGAGGCAATTTCTAATAATTTAAATGGTTTTGTTTTCAATTTTCTTTACCACAGTCGACACTTCCACCTCAGGCCTCCATGTCAGCAGGTGCACTGGTGAAGGCACCTCCCAACTTTTTGCAAAACCAATACGAACCAGTTCAGCCCCATTGGTTTTACTGCAAGGAGGTAGAAAACAAGGAGCTATGGATGCCATTCAGTCTCCTAGATTCTGCAGCTCTAGAGGAAGTTTATAATTCTGGTAAGATTTAAGAATACCTTTGCATCATTTTTTTTAGCTTTGGATACATAATAATCAGAATGGGGTAGCTGGCAAGTCATACTTTCAGAGACAAGCATAACTCACAAATTCTACATTTTGTTTTCACGGTGTGTGTGTGTTTGTGTGTATGAAAATTTGAATGTTGGGTTTCCCTATTTTTTTGGAGGGAGAAGTAGGGAACAGAAATTGAGAAAAATGGAAATATTCATATCAAACTTAAATTAGTTTTACTACTTTAGTAATATAATTTCTTTTAGTTACAAAAGGTCTATTTATGAAATATAAAAGCATTAAAGTTGTAAAAGCAAAATTATGAAAATATCCGGCCTAAACAGAGCTATAAATTGCTGCACCTTGGGCTGCCCAGGTATATAGCTCGTAATTTGTGCTGTCTGAAAAATGGAGAAAACCTAAAAATTTTGTAATAAAGTGGTCCAAATTGTTCAGACAAACAGTTTCTTATGTTAATATTTTTAAGGTGTATGTTAGTTGCATGTATGGATGTTAACTTTTACTCTGCATTATAAATATCAACCTCTTCACTGGTATATTACCATAACAAGCAATAGAGGGGCCCCTGTACACTGTTATAAAGTTGGCATTTAGTAGGTACAGAAATGCAACTTTTGTTTGAATGCTTGATATGACAAATTTCTATTTTTTTATATATTTCACCTTTCTAGGTGATCTCACAGGTTCATATCACATATTTCCTAGCATTTTAACAGAGAAATACTTTGTTTTGAACAGAAATTAATTCAGTGAGGGAGAAAAAGGCTCTTCCCCCGTGTATTCCCTAATTTCCAATATTTCCATGGGATATTTTCCCCTGTGTTCCCTAGTTTCCAATATATCCATGAGAAATATGGAAAATTTCTTGTGGAGTAGGCAATAGAAAAAAACAAACAAACAAACATTGAGAAGGGGGCAGGCTTGTTTTCTGCTGCTCTAGTGATTAGGGAATGGAGTAATAGATTCTAATGGGCTAAAAGAGATTCCCCTTAAACATTAGGAAGAACTTCCTGACAGTAAGAATATTTTGGCAGTGAAATATGTCACCTTGGAATGTGGTGGAGTCTCCTTCCCTGGAGGTTTTAAAGCAGAGGCTGGATGGCCATATGTCAGGGGTGCTTTGATTGTGTGTTCCTGCTTATCAGATGGCCTCTCTATTCTCATCCAAGTCTCTGATTATGAAAAATCACTGCTGTTTTTTTCTCTGAGTCTTCATATTTCAGGCAGAATTTTGTTTTGTTTTCCTTCAGAGTTTTTGTGTGGATAAACAGACAGGTACATCTTGTTGGTCAAGAGACTATAAAAAGAACGGAACATGCTGTCCCTCTCCAAACACATCAAAGAATGTTCATTGGGCTAACTCTGAGCATTGGTTTCTCAAGCCATGAATATAAATGTCAGTGTCGTCTTGGTGGATTAAGAAGATTCAGTAGAAATACATTATGTGGCCTGTGTGACCGTTGTAATATACAACATGATATTAAATAAAACATCGCCATTGCTTTTAAGAGAGGAATCCTTGTGAATGATTGTCAGTTCAGAAAGAAACATAAATGAAATAGGGCATTACATGGAATGCATTTTATTTTAAGTACAAATTTACATAACATAATCAATGAATATTGACCTTACCATTAAAAGTATTCCAAAGAGAAAATAAGCTCACAAGTCACTTGCTTTTCCTGAGTTTCATGGCATTTCCCCCCGATTCCTCTTCTTTCTGTTTGGTATCTACTGAGCTTTCTGTGCTGTCCATTTCCCCATACTTATGGTGGTGTCTTTTCCTACTGACCACGCTCTTCCAAGTGCTGGCACCAATTAAAATTGATTGGAATTATTGCATGTGGGAATGTTTGTTTATTTCATATACTGTCCACATTCTGATGACTACCAGTGAGCAAAGTGGAATAGCTGGGGAAAGAGACATGCAATAGTAAGTCTAGAAACGTTATCAAAATGCCACATTTCCCAATAAGCACTGTTTGTTCTGCCTTTATTGTTCTTTATGAAGGTTGGTGGGAAAAAGCACTTCTGTCTCAAATGCATAGGTAAATCAGTTGGAAAAGTAAGAGGCATGTTGCCAAAATAACTATTTTATATTTCTAGTGCAACCTGATCCAGAGAGTGTGCTTTTGAGTACTGATGGAGGACGTTATGATGTTTATCTCTATGACCGAGTTAGAAAAGCTGTGTATTGGGAAGAAGAGCCATCTGAAGTGAGACGGTGTACTTGGTTTTATAAGGGAGACACGGACAGCAGATTCATTCCTTATACAGAAGATTTCAGTGAAAAGCTTGAGGTGAGTATGTTGGATAACAACTCATTTAAATTAGGATGTTAAAGAGGCTTTAGTTTTATGAGATAATAATGGCCATGTCATTAGAAAAGACTGATGTATCACTTTTAGTCTCCAAATTTACATGATTTTCAGTCTTTTTTTCTTTCTTTTTTTTAATACATTGCATTTTGGGGGGGGGGGGGGGTTGGGGATTTTTTCCAGGCATAAATAACCTGAAATTCAATCTTTACTTTTTTTAAAATGAGGAAAGTTGGGGAAGGGCTTGGGGGAGTGTTTGGGTGCTGCAGAAATGGAGTTCAGGAGCTTCACGCAAGTCACATTTTCCCCATCCCTGTTGCAAATTGAACATTATAACTGCCAGCAGAGGTATGGCAGTTAGAACAACTAAGGCCTGATGGAGAGAAAAAAACTATATGCCTGATAGCTCTTGCCATCTTTAAACATTAAATGACAGCAAGAAATGCGATTAGTCAAAAATAAGCACTCCAAGTAAATAACAACAACAACAACAACAACCCCCTCTCAGGGCAGCTTACAGCATAAATAATACAATAAAGTGCAATACATTAAAATTACCACATCATATAAAACACAAAATATGGCACAAACAAGTAACAAAATAAATAGTAAATATTATGAACATTGGATTAAGAACACAGTCGTTCCTATGAGCTAAAAGAGGGCTTGCTACCCCAATCAAGGTTAATCCATATCGTAGGGATTGACTAATCATTACCAAAAGCCTGTCTAAATTACCAGGTCTTCAAGTCCCTCCTAAATGCCGTGAGGGTGGATGCCTGTCTAATCTTTCTGGGGAGGGCATTCCAGAGTCGGGGGACCACTGCTGAGAAGGCCCTCTCCCTCTCCCCACTAGCCTCATTGCGGTGGAGGAAGGATCAAGAGGATGGCCTCCCCAGCCGATTGTAAGGCTCGAACAAGTTCATATGGGTGTGTGTGTGTGTGTGTGTGTGTGAGGTCGCGTAAATAGTCAGGACCAGAGCTGTGCAGAGCTTTATAGGTGATAACTTGCACTTTGAATGGGCCTGGAAGCAAATAGGCAACCAGAGAAGCTACTTCAGAAGGTGGGTCATATGATCTCTATAACATGCCCCGTCAGCAGCCTGGCTGCCAATCTTTGTACTAGTTGAAGCTTCTGAGCCGTCTTCAGAGTGCATTGCAGTAATCCATATGAGATGTAACTAAGGTATGGACCACTGTACATACATGTATACATTAACATAACAAAGTTTTAAAAACAGCTTGGTAGTAACTAATATTTTAAAGTGCAAATTATCAATAAATGCAAATTGTATAAGTGTCCTCTTTGACACTGTGATGCTTAAAGTTTGATTGAGGCAATTTGCTTTTTTTTGTAGGCAGAATATAAGAAAGCTGTTACCACAAATCAGTGGCATCGGCGACTGGAATTTCCAGGTGGCGAAACTATTGTTATGCATAATCCTAAGGTAATGTGGATAATGATTGGAAACAGCAATATGCCAAGATCAGCATAACTTGTTCACCAGAAAATAAAGCAGTTTTGGTCCTGAGATGAGCTCCATTTTCTATATTAAAATGACAGGACAATCATAAACTTTGAGGGCTCCTATATCAGAGTTCCTGGTAAAACTAGTGTGCATGCTGGCAGGGTGGAAGTGAGACAGGAGAAGCAGTTTTTTTGGATGTCCTGCGTTCCTAGAAACTTTTCCTTGCTTTTGCTTTTTGACTACAAGCCATCTGCCTTAAGTCCCCCCAGGACAGGGCTACTGTCCTGTTGATTGGAGCAGGTACAAAATCAGTGAAACTGGCTTGGGATATAGTCTTTGCCTATAGCTGTGACTTCTTTAGACACTGGCAATATAGTACCTTGAGTAGTTGCTCTGTCTGACCCACTTTGTCCACTGGTCCCTATCCTGATTTGGATGAGAAATGGCAGGTGAAGTTGGTGCTTCTGCAACCACTGTCCATTGAGAAGCAATAGTGTTAAGGGAGTGAGATTTCAAGAGAGTGGTGTGGCTTTGATTTGTTGACTGCAGAAGTATTTCTCTGGGAGGCATCTGGCTTATAGGAACACCTCAGTTTCCAGCCCCTTCTTTAGCTGTTTTCATTTCATTGACAGCAATGGAAAGGAATTAATTTGCAGTAGGCCTAAAACATTTAAGAGAAATCCAGCTTGTTGCAGGTGTGTATGAGGACTAGGGAACTGATGCAAATTTATAAATAATGTAATTGAATATTGTTCAAGAATTCATTGTCACACAAGCAGTTTTTTTTTTGTTAACAATTCCTAAAAGTACCTTAGTTCAAGTCATGTGCAGAGCAAAACTGTCCCATCTTTTATTTAGTTCTTTCTATGTGTTGTAGGGAAGTTCTAGGGCAGTGGTTCTTAACCTGTGGGTCCCCAGATGTTTTGGCCTTCAACTCTCAAAAATCCTAACAGCTGGTAAACTGACTGAGATTTCTGGGAGTTGTAGGACAAAACACATGGGGACCCACAGGTTGAGAACCACTGTTCTAGAGAAATGTTCAAATGGTTGCATTCTTCGCTGTGTTACTTTTAATTGTCTTAGATTATAGAGTAATTGTTGTGTACCTTTAAATTGTAATACACATGCATTGGTGTGATTTGAGATATTGACTTTGCAGGTTATAGTTCAGTTCCAACCTTCTGCAATGCCAGATGAATGGGGTACCACACAAGATGGTCAGACCAGACCAAGAGTGGTAAAACGTGGGATTGATGAGGATCATGAGGAAATTCCAGATGGTGAGTAGACTAGGATTTACTACAAAGGACTCTCAGTCTCCATGCCTCTTTTTTTAATTTTCCTACATTCTTTTAATACATCTTCATTGATAAAGTATAGTTTAACTTGTTCATGTCCCAATCAATATAGCACAGCTTGATCTATTTTCCCCGCGTGGTAGGCCTGTGATTCACACCAATGGTAATCCCTGCGCTCGCGCAGGCCAGCAACGGACATTCCCAAGCTACTAACTGACCGTTAGAGAAGCCCCGCCCCTTTCTCTCCGCTCCATAAATAGCCCTGCCGTGGGGCTACCGGCCATATATATATATTAATATATATATACAATTTAGAAGTTGATTTTTCTCCCCAGAATATTCTTAATGCAAGCATAAAAAACAATAAGAGTTCAGGAAAATAAAATAGACAAACAGATATGGTATGACAGTAAATATTGATTTACAGATGTATAATTTTCTGAAACCATTCCTTTTGTGAATTTAATACAGGCCTGCAGAACCAGTGAGCCTCCAGCTGTTTTGGCCTCCAATTCCCATAAGCTCTAGCCAGCTTGTCCAGTGGACAGGAATTCTGAGAGTTTATTTATTTTATTTATTTACAGTATTTGTATACCACTTTTCTCACCCCGAGGGGAGTCAAAGTGGTTTACACATAAGTAATGGTAAAAATTCAATGCCAGTACAAACAATTACAATTGTACACTACAATTAGACATAAATCAAATTAAAAAATACATCCATGAACAATAAAACAATAATTAAAACAATAACTGTCTCGTCCATCAAATTGCCGTTCCAGTCGTCTTTCCGAACTGCTGCATATATTTACTTCTCCTGCCCAAAGGCCTGGTCCCAAAACCATGATTTTAATTTTGGAGGCCAAAACAGTTGGAAGGCTGCAGATTTTGCAGGCCTAATGTAATGACTGCCTGAAAGTCCACTAACATTTGTTATTGTTATAGGTGAAGTATCTCAAGTTGACCATTTGGTATTTATGGTTCATGGGATTGGCCCTGTCTGTGATCTCCGATTCAGAAGCATAGTCGAATGTGGTAAGTTTTTGAACCTGGAGTGTTGGAGGAGGAGATGGAGTTATTGAGAATTTAATTAATCATTTATTAGATTGATGCTATTGCTTGCATCCTGTTTTATTCCTCCAAAACCTTGATATACAGCTGATCAGTTAGATTGCTGTTGATAATTCTGGTCTGTAGTGGTATATTGTTATGTACCCACAGACCTATAGGCAAGCTTGTGTATTAGATGTCACATGGAGGCACATAGAGAAGTATAAGAGAAAGACAACTTTTTACAATGAATGTCAGTGAATGGAGAAAGGAAGGAATGTTTCACAAGGGAATGAGTCTTATACCTGTAAATTGATAAACTGAGAGAGGAATAAGAAACTACTCTTGAAGCTACATTATACAGAGAAGCAATGGCTGTCACAGTAGTCAGGAAGAATGAACACAGGTAATGTAAAAGTGAACTACTTGTGAATCATTTTTCTAGCTTTCTATTATGTAGTGATTTGTTTATTTAAGATAAAACTTTCAGTAAGTTTCAAAATCAAAATGCAATATATGAAATGCAGAATTTCAGCTTTCTCATTAATAACTTTAAAATGCATTATTAACCTAGGTTATTAATAATGCTTGAAAATATAAAGTGGAGAGATGGTGTTTTTTGACTTCCCATTTCCTTGTTATTTTGAAAATCACGTTCAAGTGTATTTTTCTTGGAATGGGATTCATAGTATTTGGCAGATTCTCAAAAGAATACATAATCTGAAGAAGATTTATGACCTTCTGACTCGAAGCTTCCTTTTTTATGCTGTTATACTTTTAGAAATTGATATGCAACGAAAATGAAATTATTTTGGAAAGTATACTTGATTAAACTCAGTAGGTCCAAATGTGTTCAGTTAATGCTATTCTTTCCTATTTCTCTCCCATTCTAAAGTTGATGATTTTCGGACAGTTTCCTTGAAATTGTTGCAGACACATTTCAGGAAGTCGTTAGAAGAGCATAAAGTGAACAGGATTGAGTTTTTGCCAGTCCATTGGCATAGTTCTTTGCATGGAGATGCAACAGGTGTGGATAGGTAGGTCTCTTATTTTGGAATTTAAAACTTTCCATGTTTAGACAGGCCTTTAGCGAAGAAAACTAAGCTGGAGTGATAAGAAATACCATAATGTTTATGGACTGGAAAAAAGTGCAATATGATCTGACATGATGTCACAAGAATGTGAATGTATATTATTGTTGTTTTAAATTGTTATTTTATGATGTTTTATACTGATTAATGATGCATTTGGATTGTTGTTTACATGATTTTATTTATTTAAAACATTTATATTCCGCCCTTCTCACCCTGAAGGGGACTCAGGGCGGAGCACAGCATATACACGGCAAACATTCAATGCCAGGACACAAATTCACATACAATACATAAACATTAAAAACATTTATCAAAATATTAAAACACACCATTTAAAACCGTCCTAGTCATCCGCGTCAAATCAATTGGCCTGGTCATCTTTCCTATTGCCGCTTTATTGCCCTGTCCTGAAAGCTTGGTCCCACAGCCAAGTTTTTACCATCCTTCTAAAGGACAGGAGGGAGGGGGCCAACTTGATCTCACCAGGAAGGGAGTTCCATAGCTGGGGAGCAATTACTGAGAAGGCCCTGTCTCTTGTCCCCACCAATCACACCTGGCACAATGGCAGGACGGAAAGCAGTATGTTTTAGTATGTTGTAAGCTGCTTTGGATGATGGAAAAAAGTGGGATATAAATAAAAATTATTTATTATTGTTGTTATTCTTATTCTTATTGTTATTTATGTAACAAATGTAAACCTTGACCATACCATGTCAAATATATTTTGACAGCACTGGCTTATGACTTGAAAACCTATCACTGAGTTTTCTTGTCAAGATGTATTCGGAGGGGGGTGGGGATGCCTTTACCTTCCTCTGAGGTTTAGAGAATATTGCTTGCCCTCATTTCTGGAGTAATAGTCCAATGCTCTAATCATTACACTATTCTCACTCTCGGCTGATGCATATTGCAATTTATTCTGTCACATTGAATCTTGTTTTACTATATTATCTGAATATATCTAATGCAGTCCTGTGAATGCATATGCAGCAGTTCCTTCACATTTCCAGGGTTTGGGGGAGCAGGTTCCTACGAAAGTAGTAAAGCTGTGAATTTAAAGCACAGCTATTTGCAAATGCTATTTTTGTTAAATCTGAGAGAACACTTCTCTAGGCATTTGTAGATCCCCAAGCATGATTCTGTGGCCAGCATTTGCCAGAATATGTTTTCTCGAAACACAGATCTTCCAGCTCAATTAATTGGGAATCTTCTGCTGGAAGCTAACCTTTGAAATGCATTAGAGTATCTATAAATTTCTAGGAAGAACATTTGAGGGGAGGGGGTTGCAGCTAAGGCAACATTTAGTTATTTAAATAACCAAGTAGATATAGAGGTCTTGAGAACATGTTTTAAAATATTTCATCACACTGGAATTATTTTGAATGCTTGAAAAGTGGCCTGTGAAAACTTATTTAGCAATTCTCCTCATACCAACCTGCTTAAACATTAAGATCTTCTAACGAGGCCCTCGTCTTGTGGCTGCCATCATCGCAAATGTGGTTGGCAGTGACGAGAGAGAGAGGGCATTCTTGGTGGCCGCTCCAACTCTTTGGAACTCCCACCTCAAGGAGATTAAAACATCTTTTAAAAAGCAGCTAAAGACCTTCCTGTTCGCTTAGGGTTTTGATGAAGACAGGAGGGCTAACTTTTATTGAGTCATGCTAATGTTTATCATCTGTCTTGTTGAGTTGCCTGCAATAATTGTATTAGACAAATGTTTTTAATACTTTTATTATTGTAAATTTGTTTTTATAGGTTATTGTTTTACATATGCATATTGTTTTGTATGCTCTTTTATATAATGTTGTTAGCCGCTTTGGGTTCCATTTAGGGAGAAAAACAGGATATAAAGATTTATTATTGTTGTTGTTGTTAACAGGGAGTATTAAAATTATCAACTCCAATTGCATTTTTTCCCCAGGAATATAAAGAAAATAACGTTGCCAACTATTGGACGATTGCGTCACTTCACCAATGAGACTCTACTTGATATTCTGTTTTACAATAGCCCCACCTACTGTCAAACAATTGTGGACAAAGTAGGATTGGAAATGAACCGCCTGTATGCACTTTTCATGAGCAGAAACCCTGACTTTAAAGGAGCAGTTTCTGTTGCTGGACATAGTTTAGGTAATGCTATCATTTTCAAGTAAGAAAAAAGTGATAAGCTCTTGAAACAGAAATGTAAGCCTTCTGATTTATTTGGTATGCTGTTGCTCCACCATGATTTGTTTACAGAAATGTCTCTGGATATTTCTCTTTTGCCAGGCAAATGGTAGATTGATTTAGCATACCTGAAGTCAGCATATAAAGCACTGCTTAACTTGGGTAACCAGAAGACCATCCTGTAACAACTTGTTTTGTCTCTCCAGGTTCCTTGATTTTATTTGACATGCTGTCTAACCAAAAAGATTGGACTTCTACAGTTAATTCTGTGGCTCCTGTTGCTCCCAATGGCATTGTGAAGGATGTGGCTGAACAGCAGGTATCTTTCTTTAAATAAGCAATTTACTATGAAACTATTGTAATTGTAATTATTGTTCAAAGCTTTTGAACTTTCTTCAGGTACTGAAAATATTCATCTGAGCTAAATTTACACAGTCCTTATTTTTGAAAGATTGCTTTATTGCGTTTTAAGAATGGAGTACACAAATCACTCCGTCAGCCCCTCATCCATTCATTTGAATTAATCAAAGGTGCCCTGCTATGCCAATTGTGGGATAACATTTTCTCACACAGTAAGAAACTGCATTTATATAGGTATAGCAGATAGTTGGAAGTTCCTTCTCATGTATCTTCCATTTTTATCCTGCTCCACCTCATTTTAGCAGGGCTCTGTCCCAAAATTAGAATTTACATTTGCAGATAATGAGAAGTGACCACAGCCAACATGTTTGGTTTTATTGTAGAATTTCCTGTAATATTATCTCTCCGCTAAAAGGGCCTTCACCTGCAATCCTCCATAGATGATAAGATATGCTGTATAACTGACCCGTGGCATCTCTTTTTGGCATGTTGGATTGATATTAGTACTAAAATTTACTTTCATTCTATTGCATTTGAATGTTGAGCTGCGCCCCAAATGGTAAGTAGTAGAGTTGTACCAAAAAAAAAAAAAAATCATTTGCAGTTCATAAGTGTGATTAGTTAAATCTATATTTATGATTCTAGAGAAGAGAGGTGCAGTGGGCATGCAGTTAGAGGAATTAATCCTCAGGCAGCACTTTCCCTGCTGGAGGCTGAGAGATGCCAGGGGACATGATATGTCCATTCTGGAACTGGTGGCGGCAGCCCCACACACTGCTTGCTCTCCTGCTTTTCTTGCTCCTGGTCTTGGCACAGACAGAAGGAAGCCCCACCGGAGAAGGAGGCAGCAGAGGAGAGGAGAAACCGGGACCCGCCAAGCGCCTCGCTGCTGCCCAAAACCTCCCTCAGGTGGCCATGGTGACCTTGCAGGTCTTTAGCACCAGCAAGGTTCTTGGCGGGCCCCATTTCTTACCATTGCGCCCTCCTCCTCCACATTCTCCTGCACTGGAGCCTCCTTCTGGAGGCCAAAAGCAAGAGGGTTGGCAGCATGTGGGTCCACTATTGCCAGCTCTGGGGTAGACATGCCTTGTCCCCTGGCATCTCTTGTCATCCTGTGGGAGGAGACAGAGGGGAGAGTACCACCTGAGGGTTAGCTCTTCTGGCTATGTGCCCATGGCTCCTCTATAATAATAAATACCAATTTAATTTACTACCCACAAACAGTTTTTTTGCATAGCCTTAGTAGGTAGCTGGTTGTTTAGTAAAATTATTTGAATGCATTTTTGTATAGTGTTAGAAAGTACTTTATATGCTAATGTATTTTTCCTTTTGGTTGCTGTGAGTTTTCCGGGCTGTATGGCCATGTTCCAGAAGCATTCTCTCCTGATGTTTCACATCTATGGCAGGCATCCTCAGAGGTTGTGAGGTCTTTTGGAAACTAGGCAAGTGAGGTTTATATATCTGTGGAATGTCCAAGGTGGGAGAAAGAACTCTTGTCTGCTTAAGGCAAGTGGGAATGTCACAATTGGCCACCTTGCTTAGGCATTTAATGGCCTTGTGGCTTCAAAACCTAGTTTCCAACAGACCTCACAACTTCTGAGGATGCCTGCCATAGATGTGGGCAAAACGTCAGGAGAGAATGCTTCTGGAACATGGTCATACAGCCTGGAAAACTTACAGCAAACCAGTCATTCCGGCCACGAAAGCCTTTGACAACATATTTTTCCTTTCTTTGAAGATGACAGTGGATTCTAATTCTGCTGGTTCTATGCCGTTACTTTCAAATGATGACCATGGTGATCATGATGTGGAAGAAGACATTCCAACCTTGCAAAAAACTCTGGAAATGCTTAGTTTATCAGAGTACATCAGTACATTTGAAAATGAGAAGATTGATGCAGAATCTCTGGTATAGTCAACCATTTAGATTAGCATTGAGACACAACATGCTAATGCTTTGTGTGGATTTCATTTTGGCATATAAAGTTGGGATGGTATGGGTTTAAAAAAAATCAGGCAACTAGTAGCATAATACATTTTGACTGGATTGAAATGACTTTCAGAACCTATGCACGCAAGCCTGAGTATGCATATATGTGTTTCCCTCCTTTTTTTTCGTTCAAAGAATAAATGAGAGGTTTTGTGATGGAGCAGAGAAGAAATTACATGATTATATGGACTGATCGCAGAATGCACTGGCACAGACCGAAATGGACAAGAATTATTTTGCATTTAGAATAGTCAACACTATTCTACTGCACTGTTTATCCTGGAGCAGTATTTTGGGAGACCATATGCTTTCATTTGGAAACCAGTAATCTGGTTTCACCTGGTTTCATCGCTTGGGATGGAGCAGGAAGATTTTGCTGTAACTGTTCTATATACATGAAAACTTTTTTATTTATTTATTTAAAACATTTCTATTCTGCCCTTCTCACCCCGAAGGGGAGCAATTACCGAGAAGGCCCTGTCTCTCGTCCCCACCAATCATGCCTATGACAATGGCGGGACGGAAAGCAGGGCCTCCCTGGAGGATCTTAATCTCTGTGATGGTTCATGTGCATCCTATACAACCCCCTGCATTCAGCCACACCTTGGCTTTCTTTTTCATGAAATATGTGCTGCACCCATTGATTATCAGTAAACCTTTTTTTTGCCAGTAGCTTTGTCTGATTGTGAAACTTCTGGGATTTATTTTGATATGATATGCAGAGGGCATACCACATCAAAACAGATAGGTCAACACAGCCTTGTTCTTAGAGCTCTTCCACAAACATTTCTACCTGAAATGAGGAAGATCTATGATGGGGTTGGCACAAATGCAGTATCGTTTGTTTAGGTTATCAAGTTGCTGATTTCTTTTCTGCTTACACACTTCCAATAACTCTTCAGTAGTTCTATAGAGAGATTCATCTCAGGATAAGGATCATTTTGTATAGCATTCCCCTTTTGAAGTGGTCTTAGCTTGAGACATTTCTATGCTCCTGCTCATCTTTTTATAGAACTGTACAATGAACAGTAGAGGCCCTTGAACCCTAGGGGATTCATATGATGTGATTAATTTTACAAAGATTTAGACGTAGTATACTAGAGTACTCTGATTCATATTGTCCTTTACAACAATTGACATTATAGCTGTGATTTATAAGATGTTTATTGTATGTAGGTCCATCTCTTTCTAACTAAAATGTGGAATGAGGTTTTTTTATCTGTCACTTTAAAGAGAAAAAGTTCATTTTGTAATTTTTTTTGTCTTTCAAAGCTGATGTGTACGATTGATGACCTGAAGGAAATGGGAATACCTCTTGGGCCACGAAAGAAAATAGCAAACTTCGTAAAAGACAGAGCAGCCAAACAGGTAGAGACTGTTTTGCAAACTAGAGCTATATCTATAAGTCTGTTTTTGGCAATAAGATTTCATTGATTCCAAGAAGCTGAGGGGAATTCAAAATAGATATTACAACACATTTTCCCCAATCCGGAAAAAATAACAACTTTCTCGTAAACTACTATAGAGATTTTAGCTTCCAGTAAGTTATTACTTCTGTGGTGAAAATACTTTTATTATGGTAAATTATGACAGATTTTGTTTCATTCCTGAGCCCTTAAATCTTTTGATTCAACAGGAGCAGAGAAAGGCAGCACTGGAGAAGAAGGCAGCAATGGATGCTTTGATGCGGAATCAAGAAGAAGCTGCTCAAGCCGCAAAGAAGGTGGCAAGACTTGCTGCCTCTTCAGCCACAGTTATGCCTCAGGATCCATCCAAGAGGAGACTTTCAGTTGGAACTTCAGTTTCATCTGCACATATAGATTATGAATATTTTGAAGTAGGCACTGGTCAGGTAGGCTTCATCGGGTTTTTAATTTATTTTAATCTATTGACTGCTTAACTGTCTTTCTACGTTTAGATGTCAATCACGTTTATGTGGGTTTCTATGATTTTTATAGATAGGATTATGTCAATAATGCTGCTGTTTTTATTGTATGTTACTTTTTCCTTTTTTACATTTTCTGGACCGCTTTGCATCACGATCCAGGAGAAATGAGGGATAGAAATAAATATAATATAATATTTCATTCAAACTGAAACAGTCCAGTTTGTTGTTAACTGATGTAACTGCTTCTATTTTTTGGCACATATGCATGACCAGTTCACCGATGACGTGATGGAAGGATAACACACAGGATAAGGGATGGGATTGGCCCAGAGAATAGTGCGGGACTTTTAAAACTTTTTCTACCCATGACCCCTTTCTCCTCAATAAATTTGTATGTGACTCTGGGTATATAGTTAGGTATATAATATAGGTATAAAAATCAACATTGACTGATAACAAATCAGCATTTACAAGGTTTGCTAAACAGACTGATTTTCCTTTTTGTGGAGTACAGCTGAAGCATTGTCTGCAAAGTCCACTGTAAACACTGGATGTTGTTGCTAACTGACTTGTGCAAAGGGGTGGCATTCAGAAATCTTTTACTGTTGCCAAATTTTTCTAACCCCAACATTGAGCTAAAGGAACCCCATTTGGGTTGGGGTTAAGGACACTGTTGCTCTCTGTATCTTTGTAGCTCTCTCATCTGCCACTTCCATTATAGCTAATTGTGAGGTATCATGGAATTTGCAAACCAAAACCTTTTCATGGGCCACAGTTGCCCACCTTTGATATAAAACCGCGTTGCTACAAATTTTCCGGGATGTATGGCCATGTTCCAGAAGCATTACCTCCTGACGGTTCACCCACATCTATGGCAGGCATCCTCATAGATAGTCTACGCAAGTGGGGTTTATATATCGGTGGAATGTCCAGGGTGGGAGAAAGAACTGTTGTCTGTTTGAGACAAGTGTGAATGTGAAATGTGAAGCTTTGCAGCTTTAAGGCTTGGCTGCTTCCTGCCTGGGAAGTATATTGGCTGCTTCCTGCCTTGGTGATAGTATCAAGACCCTATAGGGATCACAGGGATACAGAATGTTGAAATAAATATATTTACATTTTAATTATTTAAACTAAATTATATCTATCGAATTAAAATGGACTGGCTGATATATAAGGAAACCATTACTAATCTTTTGGCTGTTTCTTTATTCTAGGTCTCAGTGGTATACACTACACTTGACTTTGAGCCAGAAAATTTCTTTGCCCTCGGTTCCCCAATTGGTATATTTCTCACAGTAAGAGGGGTGGAAAAAATTGATGAAAATTACAGATTTCCCACCTGCAAAGGATTTTTCAACATTTATCACCCGGTTAGTAGAAAGTACAAGGTTTAGATCTCCTGAAGAGGAACGGCAGCAGATTAACTCCTTATTTAATTTTTCATTGTATCTCTTTAAAAGCTTAGGAAAACAATTTGTTAGATCCAAACTGATTTCTGATACTTTTCCCAGGGGTGCAACAAAAGAGAAGTTTGCTTTATGTGATGCAAACCACTGGAAAGTATCATCACTGTAGTTTGTTAGAATCACTTCTATAAGTTTTTATTATTGCAAGAAAGTCGGAATAATTTTTCCCTGAATTTAGGCTTTTGATAATATTCACACAGCATTATTTGTATTTCTGTTTTGATTCAGGCTTGTACTTGTGAAACTAAAATATGTACCAATTGTACATTTTTAAAAAAAGGTCTTGTTCCCAATATTCCATGAGACACCTTGTGACTATTGAACTTTCTGAAACAGGGAATTCTACCCTTTAGTTCATGTCGAGTTGAATTCAGAGGGAATTTTCTAAATTTGAATGGGCAGTGCTTGTTTGCACTTGTGCAATACTCTGTTTGCACACTGCTTTTCTTATATTTGAACTTGAGTTATAATATTCCATAGCACAATTGAGTAAGTTATTAACTTTATTAGAATGTTTGTAATATGGAAATTATTGGAAGTCAGTAGATTGCATAGCTGTACGCAAATCACATATGTAAATTTGAGCTATTAGAAGATCTTGACTATGCCCAGTAGAAAGCTTGGTTTTGAATGATAGCCCAACTATCCCCAGCTCTGGCCACATCACAGTATTTTACAGTCCATTCAATACCAAGGCCTGTTTGCTGTGTAACTTTTGGTAACATATAGTACATTGGTTCTCAACCTGTGAGTCCTCAGATGGTTTGGTCTTCAACTCTGAGAAATCCTAACAGCTGGTAAACTGGCTGGGATTTCTGGGAGTTATAGGCGAAGACAACTAGGGACCCACACGTTGAGAACCACTGAAATAGTGGGCCCTTGCTATCCACTGGGGTTTAACTCCAGGACCTCCCATGGATGCTCAATTCCCATTATATACAAAGGCATACTAAAACAGTTTTCTCTATATAAAATGGCAAGATCAAGGTTTGCTTTTTGGAACCCATGGATACAGAATCTATGGAACATGGCGGTCTGACTTTGTAAAAAAAAAAAAATCCCTCCAAAGCTGCTTTGAGTGTGTCATGCTAACACTGCACTTCTTTAGACATTGTCCATGTTAGGCATTAAGAATTGTGATTACAATTCCCTCCCCTCTTTTGTTTCCAGCTTGATCCTGTGGCTTACAGGCTAGAACCAATGATTATTCCTGACTTGGACATAAAACCTGTTCTCATTCCACATCATAAAGGCAGAAAAAGACTTCACCTTGGTAAACACATATTTTACTCAATACTTAAGAATTGTAGAAGTAGCCTTTAGAGTTTTAAGAACAGATGGAGGATGTTCAGTGATAGAGAAAGCTAAGAAAATGCTTGGAGCAGAACATAACTATTATGCAGTATGTATGATTTAACTTCCCATTCAGTCCACATGATTAGATGTCATATTGGCTGCAGGGAAACGATTCCAGAACAAGAATCTCCACAGGGATTGCTAGCATGTGGCTTTTATTCTGCCAGCTTCTCAGTGATCTTTACACGGATGATTGTGGTGGGGGAGCAGCAGTCTCAGTAGGGAATTGCTGTTGTGCTGACATGGACATCTTCCCACTCTCCATGGAGCTGAGATCATTGGAACATGGGAAGCTTATATTTTCTTAGTAGTTCCTGTGCATCTTTGCAAAAATGTATTAGTTAATTACTTAGAGGAATGTCTGGGTTTTGTAGATTTACCTATGAGCCATGTTCATGCAAATTTATCAAAATACCCCCCGCCCCCAAATAGACCTATATCTACAACTTTCAGAATTTGTCCAGTTTTGCCTAGAAAAAAATGCCCTAAAAAGCAAAAATGTACAGGTAAATGCCATAGAAATCTATGTACTTGTTTATATGAAACCTGTTCAGTTTGGAATTCATTGCCTGACTGTCAAAGACAAAACTTGTTGTTGTCATCATTTATTCGCATAGTGCTATAAAAAGTACATGGCACTTCACACAGTTAATGAAACCAACATGGCAAATTGTTCTGCCAGAGCTGTGCAGTCATGCTAGTCATGTAATAATAATATAATAAACTTTATTTGTACCCCGCTACCATCTCCCCAAGGGACTTAGTGTGGCTTACATGAGGCCAAGCCCGAAGTACATCAAACAAACATCGATAACGCAACATTAATAAACAATCAATAAAATACAAATCATATAAATCACATAACAAAAACAACAATCAATAATGACATATTAAAAATGGCCGGGCCAAATGTAATAGATTAAAATTGAAAATATGCTGACGTGAACAGGTAAAATGTAACTGGGATAGGATTTTTCAGAGAGAAACGAGTGAATGCAATCCATCCTAAGTCAGTATTAAAGTGCATTATGAGGGCCTATTGCTGAGAGTTCTCCTTATTCTGGAAAGGCACACTGGAACAACCACATTTTCAAGCTCCTCCTAAAGACTGCCAACGTTGGGGCATGTCTAATGTCCCTGAGAAGTGAATCCCAGAGTCGAGGGGCCACCACCGAGAAGGCCCTCTCCCTCGTCCCCACTAATCGCGCCTGCGAAGGAGGTGGGAGCGTGCTTTGTATGCTTCAAAGTGTGCCCATAATTCTGTATGACGGTGGCCTGAGATCCGAATCAATGTATTCTACTCCAATGTAGATATATTGAGCTGAACTTTTTACTTGTAAGGACACCTTTCTAAAAGTTTTGTTTAAGAGAAGGTTTCCCCCTGAAGGATACAAAAATTTAGTAGGTGGTATCTAAAGTACTGAGTATTTTTGCTATTGATGGTGAGTGTAAACTTTACTATTGTTAGCATTAAAATATTCTTCATAATTACTATTAAAAGGAGAGTTCCTGTGATAAACGTATGTGTGGGCATTTGATAGATCATCACAGCTGCTATAACTAAATTATGCTAAATATATGTAGAGGTGCAGATCACAATGGCATCTCATCTCTCAATACAAGATTTTTCATAATTTTCATGAGAAAGTATTTAAAACTTCTCTCCTGAATCAACAGTCTCACGTGGATTTTAGAATTTAAGGAAAAGTGCTGCAATCTGGGTTTTTTTCCTGAAGGTGGCAGGATTGCTTATTTTTACATAGATATTTGCTCTCTCTGTGTGTATTCAAGGTGCCCATTAACTTATGGCAAACACATGAATTTCATAGCATTTTTGGCAATTCTTTCCAAAATGTCTGTTAACCTCACAATTTAGCAAACAGGTGTCTCTTGACTAATACTATGTCCTTACATTGTTTGAGGATTATTACTATTATTTTTTATAGAATTGAAAGAGTCTCTTTCTCGCATGGGATCGGACCTGAAACAGGGATTTATCAGCTCTTTGAAAAGTGCTTGGCAGACCCTTAATGATTTTGCACGTGCTCATACCTCCTCTATTCAGCTCCAAGCAGAATTGGAAAAGGTGGCTAATCAGATTAAAGAAGAAGAAGAAAAACATGAGACAGAAGGTTGGTTGACACATGGCTCTTATTCTCTTTAGTATTTTGTCTGTATTAAAAGTATGAACGTATTGCATTCATTTTGTACTTTGAACTATACCATGGCTCCTGGTACTTCAGTTTCACTATTATGTGCTTTCAAGAGAAGGGATAGATCTGTAATAGTTCGGGCCATCTTCTAATATATAGAGTATAAAGGCAGAACCCATACCTGATTAAACTCATACTCTTTTTCTTTCAACCATAGTAGAAAAGATTGTTGAGAGTCCAGATCTTTCAAAAGATGAAGACTTGAATATAAAAATCGGCTTGCTAAATGGTGGCCGTCGTATTGATTATGTTCTGCAAGAAAAGCCCATAGAAAGTTTTAATGAATACCTGTTTGCTCTACAGAGTCATTTGTGCTATTGGTAAGTATTTTGATTCTTTATTTTTATTTACAAACTTTTGTGCCCTCACATGTGTGTGTATATATATATAGAGAGAGAGATAGAGAGTGAGAGTGAGAGAGAGAGCCTGTTCCTTTGCTGGCCTTACATTTGTAAAATAAAATCAGATGCACTTCTCCAATAAGAAGCAAGGTGCCAACACCAAATATAGGTGAAAGTCCCATTGTGCATTTGTGTCAATATAACGAAACCACCTGTAAATAAAAGGCCACAGGAACAGCACTGTGAAGGCAAAGAGGCAGATTTTCAAGTCTGCTGTTTGGAAAAACAAGCTGCTGGTGTCAAGCAGCTTGTTTTTTTTCCAATGCCAGCCCGGGGAGGGGGTGTGTGGAGAAGGTCTTGGAAGCACAATTGATTCAGTTTTATGAGTCACTCTTGTCAGGAGAGACTGGGGAGTTCCACTCCCATAAATCCCAAAATTTCAAAAATTGGTTGCTTGAAGCCAGCATCCTACTTGGTCAGATAATGAGTGCAAAGTCTTTTCCATCACTCCATATGTCTGTGTGGCTGAAACAAAAAGCATAGTTCACCAATAGGATTTTAGCAATTTCATATCTCTACAATACAATACAGATTATGATGATTTTCTTATCTATCTTCTCAAGTCTCGTTTGATAAATACTGGCCAACACACACATATTGGTGCCTCAAATGTTAATCCTGTTTCTGGGTATATTTGATCTGATTCCTAAAATGCCCACACTTTTCCCCTGTCAATTTCGGTTTTCAGATATAGAACATATGTCATATACCAGTCATCATCTCACCCATGGAGCCCCCAGTGGCACAGTAGGGTAAACCCTGACTGAAAGGTCAGTGGTTCGAATCCAGGGAGCAGGGTGAGCTCCCATCTGTCGGCTCTATCTTCCCATGCAGAGACATGAGAAAAACGTTCTTGCAGGCGGCCATTTCTTTCACATCAGAAGTGACTTGCAGTTTCTCAAGTTGCTCCTGACACACACACAAATCTACCACCCATAGAAAACCATGATAACCATTCCTATGAAACTAGGGCTCATGTGGTCTATTCAATGTAAATTTCTGAATCAGTGTCCCAAATAACCCCAAGAACAGGCCTGAAAACCAAGACACCCAAGAAGGTTTTTTTTTTTTTTTGGTTGTGCTATGTTATGGAACAGATTCTGAGTTGTGAGTTTTCTGGGCTGTATGGCCATGTTCCAGGAGCATTCTCACCTGACATTTCACCACATCTATGACAGGCATTCTCACAATTTTTCTACTACAATTTTTTCTTCGCAAATCTTTTAGTGTCCATCTATGGCAGGCGTCCTCAGAGGTTGTGAGGTCTGTTGGAAACTAGGCAAGTGAGGTTTATATATCTGTGGAATCTCCAGGGTGGGAGAAAGAACTCTTGCCTGCTTGAGGCAAGTGTGAATGTTGCAAAACAACAACAACAACAACAAACAGATTATTACAAAACAGATTCTGTATAAATACTCTAGTTTTGCCCATTAAAATGAGATTCTATCGTTCTTTCTTTCTCGCCTTGGAAAGATAATCTATCACTTCTTAGTCTGATTTGGGATTTTGTTGCAAATAGCTGAAAGTTCATATATCCTGTGCATGACAGTTCAGTGCTATGAATATTGATGCAATTAAATAGTGCTTGCACGAGTTTAAGGGACCCTCTCTTGATACACAGGTGCCAAGTACAAAACTGAAGGTGCCAAGTGCTGCCACCCGCTTCTTGCAACCCACAAAGTTAGGCTGTTGGTAGAGGTGTAATTTAATAAATAACATAAGCACCTGGAGTTTGGTTTGTGTTTGTGCTAATAATTTTCTGAAAGTCTTTTGGGCGTGAGAGCTGTGTCTGATGTGTATTTTGAGATGGTATTTTCCTGTGAATAGCTTTCTTGTGGAGAAATGCATTTGGGTTGTTGCATGGGATATATCTATTTGTGAGTTGTATGTGGGTAGATTGAATGAGTATTTTCCTAAGAAGTATCAAAAATAGTTAATTAGTTAAAAATAGTTAATAGTTAATTCTGGTTAATTAATAAAAAAGACTAGAAACAGACTACCAAAAAAGTTGCTTTAAATTCAAAGTTAGGTTTGTATATTCTGTATTGTATTGTTGGCACAATAACAATTATCCAACTTGTACTCTCTGAATTTTCCTTATTTCCTTGATCTATGCTGCAAGATAGCTATATATTTTTCACCATAAGGTGGCATACTTGAAGTTTCTTCCAAAATACAGGAAGTTTCGATTTCAAAGCAGTATGTTTCACTATGGCAACATGTTACAATTACACAAAAAGTTGCTAACAGTTTAATGGGTTATCAAGTTTTACTAACTAGTCTGCTGATTTTGTTGAAAAGATTCAGCTATATTAAAATGAAGTTTAATGCAATAAACTCCATTTTGACAATATATGACATTGTCATCTTGCAAATGACTGAGGTTTAGGGGCTGTTTGTGTGGTGGGAAAGGCGTTTAGAGGTAATCCTTTTAAACTCTATGCCCCCTCCCCTTTCAACTGGTGAGAGTTTTATTCATGAATGGTTTGTGCTTTAAGAGATAAAGTGATTTCAAATTTGGTCTGTCTTTTTAAAATACATTACTTATTGGGAAAAGTGAGGAAAAAGAATAAGTTATGAGATTGTATTGTCAAAGGCTTCCATGGCTGGAATCACTGTGTTGCTGTGAGTTTTCCGGGCTGTATGGCCATGTTCCAGAAGCATTTTCTCCTGATGTTTTGCCCACATCTATGGCAGGCATCCTCAGAGGTTGTGAGGTCTGTGAAATGCAGTCTCTGAGGATGCCTGTCCTAGATGTGGGTGAAATGTCAGGAGAGAATGCTTCTGAAACATGGCCATACAACCGGGAAAACTCACAGCAACCCAGTTATAAAATCAGAATGCTTCTTGAAAGTGCTTTCATATATGTGTGAATGACTTTAAAGATAGCCACCTCTTTTCCTTGACATAGTAGAAAAATAACACATTTTTCTACTGAGAAACAACATATAAGACAGGCCCCTACATTGGCTGTCTTCAGAAAGAACTTGAAGACCTGGCTTTTCCGATGCGCCTTCCCAGATTAGGAAATCTCCACCACCAAGTCCCATAAGCACTTTATCAGAACCAATGATTGCTGCACATCGCACATCGCACTTGCCCTGGAAGCCCTATATACACCTCCTGTCACATCAGCAGTTTTAATCTTGTACCCATTGCTCTGGCCCGGCCCAGTTTTATTGTGTTTACTGTATTGTGCCTGTTGTTTATTTTGCTTTATTCTGTTTTTCATTGTTTGATTTGCTTAGATTGTATTGTTGTGTTGTGTGTTGAGGCCTCGGCCTGTGTAAGCCGCATCGAATCCTTCGGGAGATGCTAGCGGGGTACAAATAAAGTTTAATAATAATAAAGTTTAATACAGGATTCTTGTGCACTTGGAAGCATAGGCCAAATACACATCAAGGTTCACCTTGTAACTTTTCTGTTCCACACCCTTTTTTCATTTCCATATGCATTATACTGTATTATAAGTTTCTGAGCAAAAATGGGTTGGTTTCTCAGTCTTTTTACAGCCACCAGAAAATGCATTTCTGTTTCTGTTACTTTAGATAGGTAACAGCAATAAATGGTGATGAGTTCAAAAGCCAGACTTATAAGGAGGAATCCAACATTGCATAGATTGTTTGAAAATTTGTTATTGGGTGTTTTTCAGAATAGCTTGATATTATTGGCTCTTTAATTTTTTAAAAAGCAGTAAATTCTAAAACAATATATATCCCACATTTTGCAATATTGAGACTATTGCTTCACTGATCAGTGTAGATTTATTGCATGGCTGGGGTGCATGGAGGATTTTTCCTTGCATGTTAAAGTGCATAGGTTTTCATTTCTTAATACTAATTCAGCTTTGTTAATTCTTGCATGTATTGAAAATCAGAAGACAGAATAGTGAAAGTGAAAGTGATGAAAGTTCTTTAACGAAGTCTATGCAGTATCAGGGGTTTAATAAGTAAGGTCTTCAATAAAATAGTGCAAGAGTGTTTTGCTTTGCTGTGGTTTTAATGATATAGTTAATAATCAAATTGGTCATGAAAACAAACAAGGTTGGGTTTTTAAAATTGCTTATACACACTGATACCCTGAATATGATTGAACCTATTATTGTAATTGTGATAATGAAGTATTAGACATAAATTGATAATGCTGGTTTGATGCTATAGAATACAATGTAACATCCAAGCTACACAGGAAATGAAGATGTCAGCCTGCATTTCCAGTTCTGGTAGCATACCAGAAAGTGTTGAATTGAGTGTGATTAAAACCTACAGGAGTTTTAGGAGAAACTGTGAAATCAAGTTAAGAATGAGAAAGACAGACCTGATTGGATTGCACAGGATAGAAATGTTTAAAAAGATGTGGAGTCCCAAAATGGAAGGTGGCTTAAAGAATGAACTGCAAGAACCCTTGAGAAGGAAGTAGGATGCACCATAACTAAAAGTTTGGGTAGAAGATTATAAAGTAAATGTCAAGGAAATTGGAATGCTGAATGTTCATACTTGATGTCAACCTTTTTGGCTAGAAACTGTTGTTTCTTCTTCATGGTCTCTCTGCCTCACACAAATGGGTTTTGCTTTTGTACAAAAACATCACTCAGAAATTTCTAGAGATGAATAGCTTGTCAGGAACTCTGTCCCTTCCACATAACCCTGAAACTACTCTCTGTCTGCAAGCAGGGCAATGCTTGTTCCCTTGTTCCCCTGTTTTTGCTGACTACTACTCAGTTTTCTTTCACTCTTTTCAGCTTTTATCTTTCTGTGATCTAGTTGTTTTTTTAAAAAATCCAAATCTGCAAACTTTATTTTTGCAATTTTATATAAGGGATTCTGTTACAGAGACATGAGAGTTCTCCATTTGATTGAGATTATTCTTCCACCTCTTCCAGTATTTTAGTTCTTGCTGGCCACTTGTGGTCCACGGACCACAGGTTGGGAACCACTAACTTAAAGTCATCAAGACTTCAGTGTTTCAGTCAACATGAATGAATGGATAGATATTTGTCTTTCCTGAATTTTTACAGTGCAGAATTTTAAAATCTTGAATTTTAAGTATCAAAAATAAGCAATTCCTTTGTAAAACCTTCCACATTTATATCTCCAGGGAATCAGAAGACACTGCGTTGCTTCTCCTGAAGGAAATATATAGAACTATGAACATCTATCCTGAACAACCACAGCATTGATGTATGGACAATTGTCTTACTGAACCTGTAAGTAATCCTGAGTGTAAATGCAAGAGAAAGTTATCTCTGCTTAAGAAGACTATTTCCATGTAGAACAGGGAAGTTACAGAGCTACAGATTTACAGAGTATGCTGGAACGTTTCTAAGTAAATATATAACAGCTGCCAGCATGTTTTAAATGTATCTGGACCTATCTTTATTTTAAAACTTGCATAGGTTTAAGCTGGTCTTGTCATTTTTCCTTACATGTTATATTTTGGCTTATTAAAATTAATGACATTTTAATATGACATCTTGTTCAATTGATTTATTATCACCAGGTCTTAGTGTTATTTTGTTGTAGTCCACCACGGTTCCCATGTCAGGAGAAAGGTGTAGCATAAAATAAATACTTTTTTCTGGCTTCAGTGTAACTAAATTTCACTTGCCGTTTAGCACCGTAATTTCCTTCCCAATGAATTGAGTGAAGATGATACTAGAAACACCCCTTTTTCATATTCTATTCCTTTCCCCTGGATATGTCTTGAAATAATAAAGGAAGTAAGCTACCACTTACCAACAGAGATACAGGGACAATATGAAACAGAAATTCTGTGTAGTTCCACTTCTTTGTGCCACTTCATAATATCCAAAGGGAGGACATTCCCATCTTCTCCCAGTGACTGGTTTCATAAGCTTATTGTCCAATTGTGCAAACCTAATGAAACCTAATAAAATCCACCTTCCAGTTACTGAAGTGAACAGTACCACATAAGCTTGAATTGTTAAAATACTTACAATTTTGATATGACAGCAGGAGGATTTAAGTATATTACAAGAACATTAGCAAATAAAAGAGAGCTGTTCCTTACAGTAAGAAAGATAACTTATTGCTTATACAGTGGGGAAGAGTACTAAGTTTCATATTTTGCTGACTTACGAGTGCATTGGTGAAGGCTCATGTGCATCAATGAAATGAAGAAAAAAATATTTCCATTTTCTGACTTATTAAATGGTTTTTCTAGTTTTCTACCTGATATCTAAGGCAAGAGAGAAACAAAACAGAAAACAATACCCAGTAGATTCTTATGGGATTTAAATCTGAAACCCTGGGCTTAGTTTTCCCCCCCAGTGGATTACCATGTATTTCATTTTTATTCAATGGATTACCATGTATTTCAGCTCATCTGACGCCAGTTTACTATTCTTCGTTGTCATAGTAACATTACTCGAAGCATGTGTGTGCAAAAAATTGTGCATTTTTGGAGACTGAAAGGATTTGAACTTATACTAGATTTTAGCTTTGCACTGATCAATTAGGCACATCTGCCAGTTTCCCCTAAACACTGTCAGTTCAATGTATATAAAATATTAAGTATCATTTACTTTAACATCTTTTTATTTTCTTGCATGAATCACCTGTTGATCTTGTAGTACACAAATAAAACACAGTGCTGAAATTGTTCTAATTACTCCCAGAACTCAGTGACACATACAATTTGGCTCATACCATGCTGTTTCATGACATATTCATGCTTTGCTTATTAAGCAAAGCTTTGTTTTAAAATATGCAGATAAATGCGTGTAATCTCACGCACTGCAGGGCTTCTGACTTAACTATAAACTCTTGATCTGAGTGCTACACAGGGACAACAACTAGGAAATGCGTAATGTATTCGCGGATTGCAATGTTTCCAGGGGAACTTGCAGGTCAGCAGTGCAATGTATGGGGAAACATTTTAGTTCCCTGCAGGTGTTACACTATTTCATTCAACAGCATAATCTGTGTAAAATGTGTGCTATTGCATAGTCCCCTTTAAATAAAAATGCATTTTACTCTTTATCTTTTTACTGAAATACACTTTTTGAAGGACTATATTCTTTACCTAATTTTGCTAAATGAAACATGCACATAGCCACATTGTTTGCAAAGAATGTTCTTATAATAGAAAACTGTAGCAGGGCAGTAAGGGGCAAAACTAGTTATCTGTAGGGATGTGTACCATTCTGTTTTGCAAAACGACCTCTGGATAATTCGGCATTTTCGGGCACCAAATCGCCCAAAATAGCATGGGTGGAACCAGGGACAGCTAATCACATCTCAACAAAGAATTCCCCCAGATACTAACAGACCACACCTAAAAACTGTCAGGCCATCAAATGCTAATCAAGGTGGCCAATTGAAACATTCACACCTGCCTCCAACAGACAAGAGTTCTTTCTTCCACCCTGGACATTCCACAGATATATAAACCCAATTTTCCTAGTTTCCAACAGACCTCGCCACTGTTAAGTAAAATAAGCCACCGTAAGCAAAATAATCACAGATTATTTCTTTTCTGTTTCTAAATGCAAACAGTAGTAATGCTAACCTAGCATCTAGGACAATGTTTAAACCTATAATATTACCAATTTCCTTAAACATCTTGTTCCAAAAATTCTTCACCTGGGGACATTCCCACCATAAATAATATGAGTTGCTTTCTGGTGTTGACCCACTATAATGTATATATATACGTTTACCCACTGTACTAAATAAGTTTAGTGGATCAACACAATAACTTATACTTTAATAATAAACAACAACAACAACTTCATTCCACACCCATCTCTCCAAAGGGACTTGGGGCAGCTTACATGGGGACCAAGCCCAGCAAAATCAGAAGTAAGAACACAATTAAAATACATTGCATTTCAATAATTAAAACAATAAGCCAGAGCAACAGACATTATAAAAACAGAATAACATCAATAAGCATCAAGCAGAAGCTGAGAACAGTGGGCATGTTCAGATCTAGGAGGGTGGGGCAAGGGTTAGTGTAATACAGCTGTACAGGAGGGGCTGGTAATAAAGTGCTACAGAGCAAGACAATAAATTAAGGCTAGGAGAGCCTAGTCAATAGATGAACAGATTAATCAAAGGCACATTGAAACATCCAAGTTTTCAAGTCTTTACGGAAGGTGGACAGAGTGGGTGCTAATCTAATCTCCCTGGGGAGAGAGTTCCAGAGCTGGGGGGCCACTACCGAGAAGGCCTACTCCCTCATCCCTACCAACCGTGCTTGTGATGGAGGTGGGGGTATTTTTCTCTATTTTCAAGTTGAGGAGCCTGCGTTCTCACATGACCAGGAGGTCATGTGGCTGGCAAGACTGCTTGGAACGTCTTTTGCCTTTTCCCACCGAAGGCGGTACCTATTTATCAACTCACATTTGCATGTTTTTTAACTGCTAGGTGGGCAGGAGCTAGAGCTAACAGTGGGAGCTCACCCTGTCCCGCAGATTCAGATTGCTGACCTTCAGGTCAGCAGTTCAGCAGCATAAGGATTTAACCATTGTGCCACTGCCACCCCAGTGTCATGTCTCTCATTCATATATTGTTATATATATATATATATTGTTATATATATAAAAGAACACTTTTTGTGTCCTTCCCAATCTCTCTATTTATGGGGAAGGACACAAAAAGTGCATGGAAATCGATTTTTGGATTCTTTGAAACCTCCTGGCAGAACGACTTATGATAGTGCAAAAATGATTTTAAAAAATACCACAATAATATGTTAATACCTTTTAAACTTTCAACTAAGGAATTAAAGAAAAAATTCAGAAAAAAAGTCTTATGTAGGTATTTCTCTTTTCCCCTTACATAGGTATGTGTACTATTTCTCTTTTTTCCACCAGCCCTGGCTTGGGCAGAGAAAGTTATAGTGGGAATTAAATTGATGTTTGTTTCTCATGTTGTTTTTTCTCATATTGAACTCCACCTGACTAATAAGGGATAAATGTCAGATGGGGCTAAAGGCAACGAGGCATTGTAGGGATAGCAGAACAGGAGAGGTCCCATTTCCCCAGCGTCTGATGCAAACTTCAAGATTAATTACGTTTGTCATAACTTCCTCACTCTGTTTTCTTTTTTGTAGCAGCATTTCTTGTCTTCTGGCTTGCCAACAATCTTTTCAGGAGGCAGCTCCAATTTCCTAGCCACATATGGCAGAAGTCGTTTCGGTCTACAACCTTCAGAGTGTCTGTTGCCTCTCTTTGTCAATTAAGAAAAAAAACAAACTATAGTGGTTGAAAAAGAAAATCAAGCCTGCTCTTCAGAGTCCACATATGTTTCCCCCAGCCTTGAATCATTTGTGGAGTCATTGCCAAGCATAAATGACTGAGAAGTGTGTGGCATGCAAATGAATTTCAGATATGTTTTATTCAGTAGATTTATCAGATCTATATCTTTTGACAGGGCTCTATGTTTTATGCTTATTTTCTTAAGACATACCGTTGTTAACCAGCAATTATTACCGTTAGATTTAATAAAACACAATTTTGTCTGATTTCTTTAAAAATGTGATTGACATTCAAACTACTTTGATAAAGTTGGCATCTGTTTGTATTTGCTGAAATGACCAATTCGCTCCAATTTGTTGAAATTGGTAAGCTTCAAACTGAGATTTTATAAAACCTTTCTCAGCCTCTGAGAGTGTGGTTTTGTTTTGTGTTTTGATGCTTCTGTGACATGATTATTTTTCCTCCAGAAAGTGTAGAGCAGGGGTCCTCAAACTAAGGCCCGGGGGCCGAATACGGCCCTCCAAGGTCGTTTACCTGGTCCTCGCTCAGGGTCAACTGCTTGGAGCGTCTTTTGCCTTTTCCCGCCAAAGCGGTACCTATTTGCATGTTTTCGAACTGCTAGGTTGGCAGGAGCTAGTGCTAACAGTGGGAGCTCACCCTGTCCCACCCTGTCAGAACCAATTGAAAGCACACAACAACAACAACAACAACAACAACAACAACCCTATCTCATCAGCCAAAAGCAGACTCACACTTTCCATTGAAATACTAATAAGTTTATATTTGTTAAAATTGTTCTTCATTTTAATTCTTCTATTGTTTTTAAGTGTTTTTTTTGCACTACAAATAATTTATGTGCAGTGTGCATGGGAATTAATTCACTTTTTAAAAAATTGTAATCCGGCCCTCCAAGAGTTTGAGGGACTGCGACCTGGCCCTCTGTTTAAAAAGTTTGAGGACCCCTGTTGTAGAGCTTCAACAAAGTGGTTTAGTACTTAAACATATTGGACTCCATGTCTCTGGACGAGAAATAGAGAAGGATAAATTAACATAGGTTTGGAGGGGCATGAGTCTACATACGATACAGTTTTTGAGGATTGGATTTGCAGAGGGCAAAAACATTTATGGGAACAGAAGAGGATTGTGTTGAGGATCAGATTCAGTGAAAGTTTCAGCATTGCCAAGCACACTTCACACTTTTCCCCTAATGAAATATACGATAGTTTAAAAGATACGTTTTAAAACACTGGACTTCTACTGCTTCTAGGCTGCTATTCTGATTTATTTTTCCTGCTCAAACTGATATCGTGACAGTTTTTATTTGCTTCTCTTTATACATTTGGGATTTTTATGCGTCAGTAACATTTTTCTTAAATATATCATTTGGGGAGTGTATCCATATTATTTTTGATATAGACTTGCTGTCTTGAAGAAGGCAGCCCAGAATAGATTTATTTATTGTGTCAGAAGCAACTTGAGAAACTGCAAGTTGTTTCTGGTGTGAGAGATTTGACCGTTGCTTAGGGGACGTCCAGATGTGTTACCATCCTGTGGGAGGCTTCTCTCATGTCCTCACATCAAAAGCTGGAGCTGACAAATGGGAGCTCACCCTGTCTCAGGGATTCCAACCCCTGATCTTCAGGTTAGCAGTTCAGCTTGCACAAGGTTTTAACCCATTGCACCACCGTGGCTCCTACAATAGATGAGTATGACACTGTAACTAAATTTGACTTCTTCTTTGTAAGAACAATGCAGTTTGAAAGTTTGCATAGTCTTAGATTAACAAGAATTTATTCATAACAGTAGATTCTCTATTTTCCATTTTTTTATAATTATGATATTATGGCTAATATTAAAACACACAATACCTATTAGTATTTCTAGCAAGTGATTACATTCTTTCAGTAGTGGTATTCACTTTATCACAGAAAGAAATAGGGTATTTTTCATTGCTTTTTTCTCATTTGGATTGTTTGGGCTCTATTTTTCACAATGAAGTTTCCCTTCAGTCATTTGTTAAACTAGAACAAATTCTGTCAGAGGAATGGAGGGTGAAGCGGCATCTTGTCAACCGGAATAACAAGTGGGAAAGCCCTTCAATAAATCCTGGATTAAATTCGTCTCCAACTAGGTTTCAGAATTGTACGATTGGTATTCAGATCATATTGTAAGTCACCCAGGGTAAAATACCAAAGAATGAAAGATGTGCACAAGTTTTCAAGAACTGTCAAAAGTATTAAATGTGTGGATTTTTCTGAAGCAAATGTGTAAAGATAGACCAAGTAAATGTAATGTGTGCCACAAGGTAAAATACAAGGATGTTATTGCTTACAATTTTTGAATTAAAAGAATTTGCTTTGTCTTTCTTTCAATATTGTTTAGTGTTCTGAAAGGAAGTAGCTATTGAAAACTGATTAAACTGATTTAATTGGTGGTATAGAGCATATAATTTTTCTTTGGGTTTGCATATTTTAAATTAGGAACTTTTAATTTCAGTATATATGATCTATTTATTCTTCTAAACAGAAGGAGAAATTTATCTTCACTATGGGATTTTGGTTTAGGTATTTTTGGGTAGTTACTAGTCAGTTCAAAAACATGCAAATATGAGTAGCTCAATAGGTACTGCTCTGGCGGGAAGGTAACAGTGCTCCATGCAGTCATGCTGGCCACATGACCTTGGAGGTGTCTACGGATAGCGCCAGCTCTTCAGATTAGAAATGGGGATGAACACCAACCCCTAGAGTTGGACACAACTGGACTTAATGTCAGGGGAAAATCTTTACCTTTTTAACCTACTAGTCATGGGCCCGGTATTTGTGTCACCCATTTATTTTGTTTTTCCGTTTTGTATCATCCATTCAGATGGCATGATATGGTACACCCCTTCTGTTCCAGAAACATCAGTGAAACGAAACGAAAGTGGGAACAGTAACTGTTTGGTCACCTGATTTTCATCCCATTGGCTGCAGTGGGCAGGCTTCCCACGCTCCCCTGTGTGTGTGGCCTGTAGGCCCAAAGTGCCCGTGACTAAGCACCTAGCGCCAAGTGTCTAATAAGAGGTGCTCTTCTCGGTACTCAGCTGCTATCCCTTGCAGCCTCAGGCGCCTTGGGCCTGTAGACCACACACACACTCTTAAAGAGAGTCCCTTTCCAAGTTACTGTGTGTTGAAAGGTAAAGGGGGCCTTGCTACCTATTTAAATTGATAATAGAGCCTGAAGAAGAGCCAAGGGCTGCAAAACAGCACTAATGAGCCACAGACTCATTTGCCTGTCTGGATTCAGAGACGGGTTTATCCCACCAACCCTAACAACTCAAATGAATGCTGGAGAGAGCCTGAGGATCAGTGAAACTGTGAAACCCTCTAGCTCTAAAACTGAGGGGAAGAGGAGTGTGGGATGTTATCCCACGTTGGCCAATGGAATAAAAAAAAATCAAAAGAATGAAACAGTTCATTCAAAAAGGCCCCATTTTAGGAAGCAGTGCTCGAAAACAGGGCAATATGAATGAAACAAACCGAAACGAATAGCAATTCTATACAAAAGCACAAGACTAGTGATGACCACAAACAGATTGAATGCTGGTGGTTAAACAATTTATCAACAATATGTCTTTTGAATATATCTATTTCAGATATTTGTACCCCGCCCTTCTCCACCACCACCCCAGGGGGCGGGGCGGGGCGGGGGGACTCAGGGCAGCTATACTTATTTTTGTTCTTGCCTTTTAAATCCTATCACCTCTCTTTCATTATGGAATTATTCAGAGGTCTGGTGATTTATAACCTTTACATGAAAATACTATAAAATTATCACAATGGCTTTGCAGCTTAGGGGAGAGAAAGAACATTGATGCAAGACCAGTCCAACTTCTGTGCCAGGGATGAGGACAGTGTAGGTCACAATCAGCCCACAAGTTATTTGATTTCTAAAAAAGCTCAGAATGTCCCTTTGCCATAGTTCCTCACACATCCCAGACTATTTTAGGTTGAAAGCGGGGTGTGTATGCCTCCCTTTGCTGAAGCAGGAATGGCTTCTTGCTTCAGAAAAAGCCCTTTCCTGGGCATAACAAAATTGACCTCCACATCCATTGGAAGTTAAACAAATACATGAACATTTTCCTAAGTTCAAAAAAAAAAAAAAGCAGAACACAACCCTCCAAGGTCTGGTGTTAGGATTGTGTGCAGTCCTAGGATTTTAGACAGTTGTCATCTTTGCACTGTCCAATGTCTCACTAGCCAAAGAAATATAGATGGACATTGTAACAGCTTCATTTGAAATAGTTCTTTTTTTTCTGAACCAGGAAGCAGAACTAGAGGTTCTAGATCTTTGCAGTTCTTTTTATTTCTTCTCCCTTGTAGCGGAAGAAAGGGGAAGGACTAGATATTAGAACAAACAAGTGAATGCATCTCCAGCATCAGCACTCAGTATCTCCAGGTCTATTGCTACAAGGTGATTGGCTCTGAAGCCTACAATGAACACCAGTGACAGCCTTACCTATGAACAGTAGCAATTAATGTCAGTTCTAAATTTCCACCACACTTTGGATTAGACCAGTGGTTCTCAACTTGGGGGTCCTCAGGTGTTTTGGCCTACAATTCCCACAAATCCCAGCCAGTTTATCAGCTGTTAGGAGTTCTGGGAGTTGAAGGTCAAAATATCCAAACACAGGTTGGGAACCACTAGATTAGAGCATTGTGGGAAATGGAAATGGGTATCTGCAACTGCCACCAAATAACTTCACAGCCAGGGGTTTAAGAGCACATTTTGCCAAGTTTCCTCAAGTCTGTCTTTGTCCTTTGCCCTCATTAATTTCCCAAAAAAACTGGCTTCATTGCTCTATTTGGAGTTCCAGGTCAACAGTAGGAAGTAAACTGATCTGGTGTAGTCTTTGATTTGTGTCTGTAGTTAATTCTGATATCTGTAATAAGCAATCATCATTTTTTACTTTTTAAAACTATTCTCCATGCTCTTATCTTTGACACCAATTCTAGTGACAGAGGAATTGTAATTCTAATTCACATTCTTCATAGGCCTATTCCTTTGACTTGACTTTGTTCTCCACTGCCTATCATGTTGTTTTTTGTTGGTGCTCCTGACAACAGCCATGTGATTTGCATCTCAGTGAAGTTTCTTGTCGTCGTAGCAAGCTTTAATGAATATTTCAGTAGTTGGTGATAAGAGTCTCTCTCTTGATAAAATGGTGAAAATTTAATATTGAGATTAACAATTTACTATGTTAGGCCTCATTTAAGTTTTCTTCTCTTTCTTGTGAGTATATGATATATTTCAACATGGTTATGAAGAAGTTGTACGAAGTCATTCTTTGGAGCCAAGTAACAAACATCTGTTAAATGGATGTGTAAGACTTATTATTGTTTTTACATGGTTACTCTTGAGGCCATATATT